GCCACCTTCTCCTCCCTTCTGAATCCTCCTCCTCCTCCCCCTCCCTCCTCCCTCTCTGTGGATGACTTCGTCAACCATTTTGAAAAGAAGGTTAACGACATCCGATCCTTACTATTAAGTCAAATGACACCGCTGGTCCTGCTCACACTGTCCTACCCTATGCTTTGACTTACTTCTCCCCTCTCTCTCCAGATGAAATCTTGCAACTTGTGACGGCCGGCCGCCCGCCCAACAACCTGCCCGCTTGACCCTATCCCCTCCTCTCTTCTCCAGACCATTTCCGGAGACCTTCTCCCTTACCTCACCTCGCTCATCAACTCATCCTTGACCGCTGGCCATGTCCCTTCCGTCTTCAAGAGAGCGAGAGTTGCACCCCTCCTCAAAAAACCTACACTCGATCCCTCCGACGTCAACAACTACAGACCAGTATCCCTTCTTTCTTTTCTCTCCAAAACTCTTGAGCGTGCCGTATCTAGCAAACTCTCCTGCTATCTCTCTCAGAATGACCTTCTTGATCCAAACCAGTCAGATTTCAAGACTTGTCATTCAACTGAGACTGCTCTTCTCTGTGTCACGGAGGCTCTCCGCACTGCTAAAGCTAACTTTCTCTTCTCTGCTCTTATCCTTCTAGACCTATCCGCTGCCTTTGATACTGTGAACCATCAGATCCTCCTCTCCACCCTCTCCGAGTTGGGCATCTCCGGCGCTGCTCACTCTTGGATTGCGTCCTACCTGACAGGTCACTCCTACCAGGTGGCGTGGCGAGAATCTGTCTCCGCACCAAGTGCTCTCACCACTGGTGTCCCCCAGGGCTCAGTTCTAGGCCCTCTCCTATTCTCTCTATACCCCAAGTCACTTGGCTCTGTCATATTCTCACATGGTCTCTCCTATCATTGCTACACAGACGACACACAATTAATGTGTGTTGTTTAGCAGACGTCTGGATAAGAGCGTCTGCTAAATGACGTAAATGTGCCCTTGAGCAAGGCACTTAACCCTAATTGCTCCTGTAAGTCGCTCTGGATAAGAGCGTCTGCTAAATGACTAAAATGTAATGTAAATGTAATGTTCTCCTTTCCCCATTCTGATAACCAGGTGGCGAATCGCATCTCTGCATGTCTGGCAGACATATCAGTGTGGATGTTGGATCACCACCTCAAGTTGAACCTCGGCAAGACGGAGCTGCTCTTCCTCCCGGGGAAGGACTGCCCGCTCCATGATCTCGCCATCACGGTTGACATCTCCATTGTGTCCTCCTCCCAGAGTGCAAAGATCCTTGGCGTGACCCTGGACAACACAATGTCGTTCTCCGCTAACATCAAAGCGGTGACCCGATCCTGCAGGTTCATGCTCTACAACATCCGCAGAGTACGACCAAGTAAGTCGCTCTGGATAAGAGCGTCTGCTAAATGACTAAAATGTAATGTAAATGTAATGTTCTCCTTTCCCCATTCTGATAACCAGGTGGCGAATCGCATCTCTGCATGTCTGGCAGACATATCAGTGTGGATGTTGGATCACCACCTCAAGTTGAACCTCGGCAAGACGGAGCTGCTCTTCCTCCCGGGGAAGGACTGCCCGCTCCATGATCTCGCCATCACGGTTGACATCTCCATTGTGTCCTCCTCCCAGAGTGCAAAGATCCTTGGCGTGATCCTGGACAACACAATGTCGTTCTCCGCTAACATCAAAGCGGTGACCCGATCCTGCAGGTTCATGCTCTACAACATCCGCAGAGTACGACCCTACCTTACACAGAAAGCGGCACAGGTCCTAATCCAGGCACTTGTCATCTCCCGTCAAGATTACTGCAACTCGCTGTTGGCTGGGCTCCCTGCCTGTGCCATTAAACCCCTACAACTTATCCAGAACGCTGCAGCCCGTCTGGTGTTCGACCTTCCCATGTTCTCTCATGTCACCCCGCTCCTCCGCACACTCCATTGGCTTCCAGTTGAGGCTCGCATCTACTACAAGACCATGGTGCTTGCCTACGGAGCTGTGAGGGGAACGGCACCTCCTTACCTTCAGGCTCTGATCAGACCCTACACCCAAACGAGGGCACTACGTTCATCCACCTCTGGCCTGCTAGCTCCCCTACCTCTACGGAAGCACGGTTCCCGCTCAGCCCAGTCAAAGCTATTTGCTGCTCTGGCACCCCAATGGATGAACAAGCTCCCCCACGACGCCAGGACAGCGGAGTCACTGAACACCTTCCGGAGACACTTGAAACCCCACCTCTTTAAGGAATACCTGGAATAGTATATAGTAATCCTTTTACCCCCCCCCCCCCCCCCCCTCCCCCACCCCCCCATAAATAAAAAAAAAAAAAAAAAAGTGTTTGTCCCACTGGCTATCATAAGTTGAATGCACCAATTTGTAAGTCGCTCTGGATAAGAGCGTCTGCTAAATTATGTAAATGTTAATGTAAATGCTCGTGTTTCTTGGCCCAAGCAAGTCTCTTCTTCTTATTGGTGTCCTTTAGTAGTGGTTTCTTTGCAGCAATTCGACCATGAAAGCCTGATTCACACAGTCTCTTCTGAACAGTTGATCTTGAGATGTGTCTGTTACTAGAACTCTGTGAAGCATTTATTTGGGCTGCAATTTCTGAGGCTGGTAACTCTAATGAACTTATCCTCTGCAGCAGAGGTAATTCTGGGTCTTGGTTTCCTATGGCGGTCCTCATGAGTGCCAGTTTCATCATAGCGCTTGATCGTTTTTTCAACTGCATTTGAAGAAACGTTCAAAGTTCTTGAAATTTTCCGGGTTTGACTGACCTTCATGTCTTAAAGTAATGATTGACTGTCGTTTTATTTTGCTTATTTGACCTGTTCTTGCCATAATATGGACTTGGTCTTTTACCAAATAGGGCTATCCTCTGTATACCAACCCTACCTTGTCAAAACACAACTGATTGGCTCAAATGCATTAAGAAGGAAAGAAATTCCACAAATGAACTTTTAACAAGGTACACCTATTAATTGAAATGCATTCCAGGTGACTACCTCACGAAGCTGGTTGAGAGAATGCCAAGAGTGTGCAAAACTGCCATCAAGGCAAAGGATGGCTACTTTGAAGAATCTCAAATATTACGTTTTGATTTGTTTAACACTTTTTTGGTTGCTACATGATTCCATATGTGTTATTTCATAGTTTTGATGACTTCACTATTTGTCTACAATGTAGAAAATAGTACAAAATAAAGAAAATCCTGGAATGAGTAGGTGTGTTCAAAATGTTTGTTTACATTCCATATTCTGGAATCAGTTTACATCGGAGCTGAGCTGACTGGCTTGAGATTTCAATAATTCACTGGGTTGGTCTTGTATAGTGGGAGGATAGTGAGTGTTTTGTGGTAAACATTCACATTCACCTAGCTTTAAATGCTGTAAATCTCCAGAGTTCACCTAGCTTTAAATACTGTAAATCTCCAGAGTGATGAGCGGAAACAGTGGAGAGCCCAACCTGTTCTGTGTGGCTTTCCCAGTGGGCACACCCTGTGCCAGTAACAGGGGTCGGGGGGCAGTGTGGCCCCATAGGAAGCCCTCTGCGTGGTGGCGTTTCCCGGTCGTGACCAGGATGATTAAGAGCCCCTTCCTTTCCTGCTCTGAGGGGCATTGTCCTGTTGACAGACAGGCTGCCGACACCTTGCCCCGCTCAGGAATTGTGTCTCGCTGGCTAAGGAGCAGGACGAGGGGAGAGTAGACTACTGATGACACACACAAACGGTGGACACACGTCTCACCCATCTCCACATTCCCAGCCAAAGTTGTGCGACACCATTTTTTTCTGGGCCTTTGTGATAGGTATTCAAATGGTGTTGATTACCTATGTGTTAATTACCTATGGGGCCTGCACTTCAGATTAAAGAGGATCATGTCCTAAAAAGAGCTGAGGGTTGATATATTCAACAATGTTAGCAACTTCAGCAACTAGAAAAAATCATGACTGGACAAGAAGTAATTTATAAATATATAGATCTTTATTCATTTATTCACTTCTTATGCTTGGTTAATAATAATAATACATTTAGATTACAAAAATCTAAATTTGATAGAAAATATCAGTGCATATACATATCCCCTCCACAATGGACACAAGACTCAATCAGTCCACATTAACAATACAAACATAATTTGGCAGGATTTAGGGGTTTAGAGACAGGATTCATAATAAACCTTAATGAATAATGTATTGTATTGGCACATATTGTAGTAGTTCAACTATCTACTTTCTCCTATGTGTAAGGAAAGACTAGCTGTTGTGACAGGAATGTTTATTTAACCAAAGATTTAGATTTATCCAAACATTTCAACTCTTCATCCTGATACTTTTTCCTTAAAGGTAATTACAGGCTAAACATGTGATAAAGTAGATAACACAACTTACAGTGACCAGTGTATAGTGACCCGCCTGGATAACACATAGGATTCCTGTAGCCTGCCCTGCAAGCTTTAGTAACACTTTTAGCACAACAAAAAGGATCAGTAACAGAATATTTCCATTATAAATATTCCTGCTAACAAACAGTAAATTCCTTCATCTTTCCTAATGTAATTAAAGTGTATACAGCAGTGTAAACAGCATATAAATCTGGAATTAAATACCGGAATGTTACATATCTCGTTATCAAGGAGGCATCGGGTACAAATCCTTTGGTTAACTCTTCAGTGTGAAATATTTAAGTGAACATTTGATCTGGATTAATAAGCGACAATGTATAATATAAACCTAAATAAATATGCATGGTTTATTTTACTAGTGCTTTCTCAGACACATGCTTCATGTGAAATTCTAATCCAAGCTCATGTTTTTAACTAGCTTTGTCCATGCGGCTCTCTTGTATCATCTCATTTCCCTTTTCCACTCAGCCATAACAATAATATACAGTTAGGTTTTCCTCATGAACGGACCCATATTGGGATAGGGGAAGGAATCCAAATACTACTTTTCATTTCAAATGCCTTCACGGTAGAGATGTAGTGTTGAATCCAAAGCAGTGTGGTCTTACTCTCTGTTTTGCCCTGTTCCCTTCATACCCTAACCCCATTCAGAGCGCGTTGGGACTTTATGGGCTGTTTAAACTACTACTACTCAGACTGAGCCCATACCCATCTACTAACTTATAGACAACACAGTCTCAACCCTTTCTTCTCTCTGAGATGAATGGAAAAATATTCAAAAAACATGTTCACTGGGAAGACTGGGGATTGGAGTACTCAAGAAATCTTTTCAGACTGGCAGATTCAATTATTCATGAACCGTTCCTATAATCTGTCCCACAGGTGCTTTTTAAAAACGTGAGCTTTTAGCTAAAGTCAAGCTGAGTAATATATGCTTGAAAATACCAATTTTGTGATAAGAATGTTTATTAAACCTTATATTACTAACTAAAAGAAAACACAATAATTATTACTTAATATAATAAAATAGCACATTTACTTTCCAGTTTTCAATTCTATAAAATATTTGTACAGAAATAAAATTGTATCAATAAAAACAAGAAACGCCTCAGTTCTCCAATCTCCTTTCTTTCACTTTTACATGTTTTATCCCCATAGTAACACATCCACATAGTTACACATTCTTCATTTACACAACAGTATAACCTGCTACCACTACATTTCATGTGTTATACGTCTGGAATCTGTTGTGCTTCTTAGTGTTGTTCACAGTTGATCATAGGAAAACCTGAGCCTGTCTTTAGGTTTGCATACAGTGCCTTCAGAAACTGTTCACACCCCTTGACTTTTACCACATTTTGTTGTGTTACAGCCTGAATTTAAAATGGATTAAATTGAGATTTTTGGTCACTGGCCTACACACAATACCCCATAATGTCAAAATGAAAAGCTGAAATGCCTTGAGTCAATATTCAACCCCTTTGTTATGGCAAGCCTAAATAAGTTCAGGAGTATACATTTGCTTAACAAGTCACACAACTTGCATGGACTCACTCTGTAGATGAATAGTGTTTAACATGGTTTTTGAATGACTGCCTCATCTCTGTACCACACACATACAATTATCTGTATGGTCCCTCAGTCGAGCAGTGAATTTCAAACACAGATTAAACCACAGAGACTAGGGAGGTTTTCCAATGCCTTGCAAATAAGGGCACCCATTGGTAGATGGGTAAAAAATGTAAAAAAGCAGACATTGAATATCCCTTTGAGCATGGTGAAGTTATTAATTACACCCAGTCACTACAAAGATACAGGCGTCCTTCCTAACTCAGTTGCCGGAGAGGAAGGAAACCGCTCAGGGAATTCACTGTGAGGCCAATGGTGACTTTAAAACAGTTATAGAGTTTAATGGCTGTGGTAGGAGAAAACTGAGGATGGCTCAACAACATTGTAGTTACTTCACAATACTAACCTGATTGACAGAGGGAAAAGAAGAAATCCTGTACAGAATAAAAATATGTCTAAAACATGCATCCTGTTAGCAACAAGGCACTAAAGTAATACTGCAAAAAATTTGGCTAAGCAATTAACTTTTTGTCCTGAATACAAATTGTTATGTTTGGGGCCAATCCAATACAACACAATTCTGAGTACCACTCTCCATATTTTCAAGCATAGTGGTGGCTGCATCATGTTACGGGTATGCTTGAATCGTTAAGGACTGGGGAGTTTTTCAGGATAAACCTAAAACACAAGGCCAAATCTACACTGCAATTGCTTACAAAGAAGACAGTGAATGTTCCTGAGAGGCCCAGTTACAGTTTTGACTTAAATCTACTTGAAAATCTATGGCAAGACCTGAAAATTGTTGTCTAGCAATGATCAACAACCAATTTGACAGAGCTTGAAGAATTTTGAAATGTTGCACAATCCAGGTATGGAAAGCTCTTAGAGACCTAACCAGAATCACTCAAAGCTGTAATCACTGCCAAAGGTGCTTCTACAAAGTATTGACTCAGGGGTGTGAATACTGATGTGAATGAGATATTTCTGTATTTCATTTTCAATAAAATTGCAAAAATGTCTAAAAACATGTTTTCACTTTGTCATTATGAGGTATTGTGTGTAGATGGATGAGAAAAAAATCGATTTAATCAATTTTGAATTCAGGCTGTAACACAACAAAATGTGTATAAAGTCAAGAGGTATGAAAACGTTCTGAAGGCACTGTAGGTCTATAGGTATCTATAGCTAGCTGTATGTGTGGATCAGTGGAGGCTGCTGAGGGGAGGACAGCTCATAATAATGTCTGGAACGTAGCTAATGGAATGGCATCAAACACATAGAAACAACGTGTTTGATACCATTCCACCTATCCGCTCCAGACATTACCACGAGCCCATCCTCCCCAATTAAGGTGCCACCAACCTCCTGTGGTGTGGATATCACAGTGGGCTATGGAGAAGACCAGCAGCACATAGATTAACTCCTGGGACAGGCTGAGAAGGCAGCCTCTTCTTCCTCCTTACTGAAGAGTGGGTTGATGGGAAGCAGGCAGGCTAAGTGCAGATATACAGAAAGGTGTCTTAGTCCTAAAGTAACAGATCCCACGTTGAAACAAAGCGCCTCAAACTTGTCTCTAGCGCAAGCCTCAGGGAGGAGGAGAAATGGAAGAAGTTAAAAGGAGGGAGGCATTATCAGGCGTTTTACGGTGCACTGTGAAGTCCAGAGACAGCTAAAACAGAGGAGAACAAAGGAGAGGCCTCGAGGCATTCAGTCAGATTCTCCACCAGGGGCGGAGGGTATGAGGTGGGGTAGCAGGGTGGGGGGGTGTCTCCCACGGCGATGGGGTGGGGTTAGGTAGGGCTACACAGGTGGGGTGGAGTAGCGCACTATATAGTTGTAGTCAGTGGGCGGGCTGTGGGACTCCAGAACGGGCTCCAGGGAAGAGTTGTCCAGGGTGAAGTCCAGAGAGGGAACAGGCTGAGGTTACTTGTCCTTCTCTCCCTCAGTCAGCACCGACTCCTTACTCCTACTCACCACCTTCATCCTGGAGAGAGAGAGAGAGAGAGAGAGAGAGAGAGAGAGAGAGAGAGAGAGAGAGAGAGAGAGAGAGAGAGAGAGGAGAGAGAGAGAGAGAGAGAGAGAGAGAGAGAGAGAGAGAGAGAGAGAGAGAGAGAGCACATACATGTTTAATAACAGACTCAGTAATATACCAATAATACATTTCCATGATAATTGTTCATAAAGGATATAATCAATCATGTTCTCTGGCCTCTCTCGCGGATGTTGACTACTTCTGCTCCCGTAAATGCTCCAAATATGAGTAATTGACTACTATTGTCTTCTGGTTGCTAGGAGTTTACAGAAACTCTCTCACAGGGGCGCAAGGTCAGATCCCAGTGGGGTATATCAAATGACTGACTGGCTGCATTGACTATGAGACTGGGGAAATGACAGGGTGGTGTATAAAATTTTCGATTGGTGAGTCAAGTACTGACAACAATACTATGCCAAGCATTTACACACATCTACAAAGAGAGCGAGATAGAGAGAGAGAGCTATAGGGAGACGGTATAGGACAACTGCGAGTGGGGAAAAGGGGGTGCCACGTGGAATTCTACAGCACAAAGCTAGAGAACCATTACAGAGCCAGGGAGGCCCTCCCTCGTAAACCTCCAGAAGGTCAAAGGTGACAGTGATCGAGTGGCGACCCAGTAAGGGTTCTTTCCCCTCAATAAATAGATCATTCTCTGCATGCCTCTGGTGACTGGTTCTCCCATGGCAGAGGCCATGGAAACTAAGGCTGTGCCCATAGGTAATGGTCTTCTAGTCTCTCTCTGCCCAGCGTTGAGAATCACATAGGGGCACAGAGACGAGGGGAGCACTGTAAATGGGTTGATGAGGGTGTGGGGGTGGATTGAGGTTGGGAGGGAACAATGGTTGCTGAGTGAGGGGATCCATAATGTTTTTATTCAAACCAAGGCCTTGCGGTATGTTCATTGGGGGTTAATCATGGTAAATTCATATCAAACTCCACTCGCAGATGTTTTCCTGTACCCTTTCTGCCAGTTTATGATTATTGCATTTAAAAAAAACTTCCTTTGTTAGCTGTTAGAATTTATTTCTGTCCTAATCTTTTTTTGACCAGTGAAGAGGCGTTTGTGAGTGGGGCATTTGAAAGACAGACTCCACCGACATACCTATTGTGCTCTTTGAACTGAAGCTGGGAGAGGTTTTGCAGCCTAACCTTGCTAAGCCCTGTCCTTAGCCCTGGTTTCTCTCTCTTCTACAGGTACGACAGGTTATGACAAGGAGTGGTATTAGCTCTAAAAGTGTCATGCCTGTAGTGTCATCTACAGCTGGTCTAGGAACCTGTCTTCTACAGGCCACTATGGATGACCTGTGTGATTGCTAACTGGGAACCCTGCAAACCTAGAACATTCCCAGAACATTATACTAAGATTCCCATTAAGTTCTAGTTAGGGCTTTATCTAACATTAGGATGATAACATCCCAAAATAATGTTTTTGATAATAAAATATGTATTTTATTCTTCCAAAATATGATTTAAATGAAACATCCTTGGGATGTTCTCCTAACATTCACTAATATGTTGTGCACAATATATGTAACAACCCATACAGAACATTCCCCAAAAGTTATCATTAGGTTTCCAGGTAATGTAATAACACAATGTACCAGTAATATTTTCCCAGTAAACCAAAATTGGTTCTGTGAAAGTTCCGGACATTCGGTTTCATTCACCTCATAATAGAGCTCTGCTACCCAACCCGAGCAACAGCGGGTGAATGTTTTTTGCAGCCTCAAAGAAACATTGTAGAATAATCTGCACAACTGGACAGTTTTTTTGTTTTGGGAACATATATTTTGTCAGAGGATGTCTCAATCAGGCCGAACGCCAAAGTGAGTTTTAGTGTGTGCTCTTAAACCACCCAGGCCCGAGTCACACTTCCACTGGGCTTTTGTTCTCTGTCTTTTGGGTTGTCACCTTAGGGCAATAGCCCTCCCCCGAGTCCTTTGTCTCGATGGGGCTCTCGCATGGTTTCTTTTGACAAAAGCAAAAACCTGTCATTGAGGTTCAGGGGGTGAGAGGGACTGTGTGTGTGTGTGACAATCCAAACGTCTACATTCCAGGCCAGCGGGTGGGTGTCCTGGGCAGGGCCAGCACCTTGCCTCTCCTTCTCCCCTGCCTCTTTCTGCTTCCACTACCTCTCCATCCTGCCTCTCTACCCCTCCCTGCCTCTCTACCCCTCCCAGCCTCTCTACCCCTCCCTACCTCTGCCTGTGGCTCCACTGCCTCTTTCTGCCTCTCACTATGGTTCTATCTGCCTCTCTCTGTGTCTCTGGATGCTATGAGTGACAGGGATTATGGGCATTAGGTGTACTCACACCAGGGCCATGATGCTGAGAGGTCAGGCAAAGGACTCAAGGCGCTTCAGCGTGTTCATATCGTCAGACGACAGGCCCATCCCACTGTCCGACTGTCCCCCCTGCACGTGCAGACAGAGGGAGGGAAATGGGAAAGAGAGGGATACAAAGAGTGAAAGAGAGAGCGAGAGAGAGAGAGAGAGAGAGAGAAAGAGGATGAGATGATGAGAGAAAGGAAGAGAAAGTGTCAGAGTTAGTCCAACAAAAGCATGGTCTTACAGGCCAGATGTTTTACACCCTACTAATTAGGCAGCTCTGTAGTGAAGAGACATCATCATGCTAGCTTTGGGGGTGATGAGTTAATTCACCTCATGGTTGTCGTTAGAGCTGTTCTCCATGGTAACCTCGTCAAAGGTCTTCACACTTGCCGGCCGGATCTTAATGTTCCTGAAGGGATAAGGTTTCCAAAGTCAGATCCTAATCCGGGAATTCCAAGATTACACGTGCCAAAAAACGGCATTGAAAAACACAATAAGTGGGAACGTAATCAAGTTAATCAACAATTACATAGTGTCAGTGGGATTGGTCTTTGAAAATAAACCCTATTTATTTTGCTTTTCAACAGACGCAGAGAATCAAATGGCTGCTTAATTCCGCTTAAGGGATAACTGCTTTTAGAGCATTTCAACACGTTCTCAATAAACACACTCATAGGACCTGTGAAACGAGGGCTTGACAAATATTATTTTAAGTGGACATAAATCCTAAAGCAGGGTCTGCGGTTTGGGAGGAAATTCCTTGAAGGGGCCACAATGCTTTGGGCTCCCTCATCATCTCACTGCCAGTGTATATATTTATTATCACAACCTTAATCAGGTCTTTCATTGTCCTCAACTAGATCTACATGAACCTTTTTAAGAGTAAGTAGCTGACCCGCCAAGCAAAGCACATGTAAAGAAAATGGTGTGTGCTTTGAACAATGAACTGAATAAAGAGTGGGGAAATGATTGGTTGTTATCTTAAAGGCGCAATATGCAGAAATCGCTCCGCCATTTCCTGGTTGCTAAAATTCGAATAATTTGCCAAATTTTTGTTTATGTGACAAAACAAGCAGTCGTTGTGTAGAGAATCATTGTACCATCTAAACCGCTGTGAAATACCTTTTCCATAACCCAAAATATTGTATTTTCAGCTGTTTGAAGCTGGTGCACAAAACCGAAAGTAAAAGACGCAAAAACGAAACTTAAAAACGGGAAGCATAGAAATAGCGCACATAGAACAGATCCACTGCTTCTTAGATTTGCTTTAAATGCGAATGACATATTGTAGCTTTAACATTCAGTACATTTAAGATAACACATATTTAATGAGAGATTAACGTTCCGTTAAGCCAAGACGCCCAAGGAGACATTACATTTCACTGTTGAAATGTCTCTATTAAATGTTATATAATGTACATAGACTTATGGCAGAAATCTTTAATGATATAAAATGTGAGAATGCTATAAAATGTGAGAAGCTTATTCAATAGTGTTGTGAGCAACAGGTGTCTGTGTGATCTCTGTGTTAGGTTCAGGGTAATATCTCTGTTAGGTTGAGGGTAATATCTGTGTTAGGTTGAGGGTAATATATCTGAGTAATGTAGTGTAGTGACTGGCCAGCTGACAGACTCCTGCTTCTTACCAGGTGCTCCCTGAGTCGCGGTGAGAGAGCGGCCTGGTGTTGGTCTTCTCTGACCGGGCCGTGTTGGAGGGGTCTCCCTCCTTGGACAGCAGAGCTGCTATAGGGATGTAATGCTTGCCCTCCTGAATGGACAGAAAGAGGAGAGAACACAACATGTTAGACCAGAGGCCTAGCTAACAGCTATCATAGCATGACGGAAAGCACATGTATGTGATAAGTGTGTGAAGCCTAGGGAGATTTGAGCATGATACCGTCCGCGTGCTCCACAAACATCCATCCAGGGCCTACAGACTAGCAGGGAATGTTGCCAAAGAATCTAAAGGTCACGCCTAATAAATAAAATGTGGAATGCCTGAGGGCCACAGACGGAGCAGTGTGATGATGCTGGTGGAGACAACCTCGCTGACTGGCCAGTAAAGGACTGAGTCTGTCTGTATGTAACAGACCTATATTAATGGAAGGCTTGAAATCCCTACTCACCAGCTCTTTTCTGTCCAGTCAGGATGGGTTCCCACACGGTTGGTTTTCAGCGAGAGTAATCTGTTATGTTATAAAGCGTTTCTATACTGTGGTTTTATGTGATGTGTGAGGTCTGGCCTGCTATCATCTCTTATCTCTTTACAATACCCACCCCTGTCTGCTCTTAATTTAGTAATAGGAGCTGTCTGTGTGTGTCTGGGTCTGTCTGGGTCTGTCTGTGTGTGTCTGGGTCTGTCTGTGTGTGTCTGGGTCTGTCTGGGTCTGTCTGGGTCTGTCTGCAGCTAATAGAACTGTCTGGATCTGGGCCGTATGTCTGGGAGAGAGGTGAAACTGGGAGCATGGCTGTACTGTAGGTATCTGAGGGAGTTTCTTCCATTCTCTCTGTGACTGTGTTTTTGACTGTCTTTTCAACTCAGAGTTTTTGGCATTATTAGGACTTGATGGGACCTTATTGTTTTGTTCTCGCAGGGGAAACAGCCAATTTTCCATCAGCAGTCACAGTCGCTGCTTTCCTTCTCCCTGTCTTGATTCCAGTGGTGTAGTGGAGGGTATACGCAGGTATACGCCGTATACCCACTATTTTTTTGTGGGCATTGCGTATACTCATTTCTTAGCCACACGATGCGTATCAAAGTAGTGTAGTGGAGGTATATGCCATATCAATTAGTAAGGCTGATGGAACAGATCACAATGTTTAGCTTCAAATGTTGATAAACACATATTAAGTACAGCAATGTGCACACGGTGTTAGGAATACGTGCAAATGTTCCAAAATGCAATTTGCGGAAAACACATTTCTAAAATGCAGCCAGGTCGTTCAAGATTGACGTCAAAATTGGACGTCTATCCATGTCCTGAGACCTTGTTGTGAAATTGTTAGATATTACTTGTTAGATATTACTGCACTGTCGGATCTAGAAGCACAAGCATTTCGCTACACCCGCAATAGCATCTGCTAAACACGTGTATGTGACAAAAGAACAACAACATTGATTTGATTTGATTTGAAGTCCCCTGTAGCTCAGTTGGTAGAGCATGGCGCTTGCAACGCCAGGGTTGTGGGTTCGTTTCCCACGGGGGGCCAGTATGAAAATGTATGCACTCACTCTGGATAAGAGCATTTGCTAAATGTCTAAAATGTAAAATGTAAGTTGTTGTTTACACCATCTTTTATCATTACTGCCTGTCAACTGCATGAAGAATGTGCGAATGGACTGGCGGTATACGCTCCACAATGAGGTGTGGTTCGACATGAACACTAACATTTTGCCAAGGCAAATATGACTGGCCGGGACCGAGACGCACACGGACAGCAGTGGAAGAATCAATCAATTTAGGCTTCAAGAGTGTCTAATGACAATCGGCAAATGTTATTACACTTTTGGTGTTTTAATAGACGCCTCTTTCCATTCATCAAACGGCAGGTGCACAGTGCACTGTTTTAGATGCTGGAATTATGTTTGCTTACATTTACATTGTTTACAAACGGAGTAAAAGCTTCTATTCTGGGTTCTGATGGGGTACAACAGTTGAACTAAGCTCATGAGGCGTTTATAAGTATTATTCTTCAAGAATCAATACGTATATATGATTACGACCAAAAATGGATGTAGCATCTAGCTTTAAATGACATGTATTTTTGCACACCCACATAGGAAGTCCCATACCTGGCAGATATTACATTTACTTTCACCCCTGGGCAAGGCCCTAACCACAACTCTGCTGACCTCTGATCTCCAGTTCACCTTGAACCTGGTCTTCATCATGTGACATACTGTAAATATTTTATGGGTTCAACCACCTTCACCTATTCAGTCATTTCAGACTAGTGATAACCTCACTGGCAGAAGGAATAGATTTTAAAGTATTAAAACAAAGCCATGGGGATCTTACCTGCTGTACACTGGCCTGTAGCAGGTCTCCTAATCTCTCCACCAGCTCAGTGAAGGTTGGCCGGTCTCCTGACTCGCCCTGCCAGCAGTCCAACATGGTCTGGTATCTGAGGAGAAATACACATCATGTCATTATGCTGGCTCACATTCACATACTGATAACACAGACATACTGCATAGCTATGTTGAGCAATATGCAAATAAATGACGGTAATAATATGGTAATCGTCACAATCTATATGGGTTGGTAATGACCCCTGCCTGATGGTGATGAATTTAGCACAATGCAGATGGCCATGCATTGCTAGGTTTCACTCTGCTGTGCTTTGGTGAGAAGCAGACATTTACCCAAAAGGCAAATAGCACTCAATCTTTCACAACCAGGAGTACTTTGACTTTAGCAACAACCTGCACTCTCCAAGACAGACCCTGTGTGTGTGGAGGCTGACTGACACGAGAGATGACTTGTAGCTGGCTTTCATCCAAATCAACTGTCATCTAAAATACTCATATATCCAATATTTCATTTTCCAAGGATAATCTGGTCTCTGGGGCTGTATCTCGTTCCCTCTAGGTCTTGGTGTGAACATTAGGAACGCTCAGAGCCCCCCTCAGGTCTTTGACGAGCTGTCAGCCTCTCTGCCCATGTGGGAAGACTCAGGGCCGTTTTGTGCTGTGTTTCCACTGCAGCAGTGGCCTGTAATAATGGCTGGAATCGGCCGTTGAGGAATTCAGAGATGGAGTGCAGGCCGCGGCTGCTGTTTAAATCAAACCCTACAGTCAGAGGTGATGATGGATCCCTAGCCTGTTTCTTACTACGGAGCGCGGCCCCCAAACACAGAGGCCCTTACGTAAACAGAGCCAGGTGCCCATTAGCTCTATTATGTTCCTCTGACTGGCACCAGATTGAGTCAATTTGGAGTTTGGAGAAAATTACTGTAAAAAGCATTACATCCTCCGTCTTTTGCCCTCTCCATCTGTGTTTGTATTCAGTGAACCCAGACCTTGGCTTGGCTTGGCAAGACTTCTCCTCTCCTCTCGGTGCAGTGGAGATTGGCTGGAGAAATGACCGGGTTGCTGGGCTGTGATTCCCATGTTAATGAGTGTCCTTGGCCAGGTGGAGGGACTCCTAATATCCTCACAGTGACAGAATGGAATCCCAGAGTTGACCACCATGAGCCCACATGGGCCGCACATCAAGAGGAGGGGATGTAGACAGCATCGTACGGCCGCACAATTTCAACCCTGCTTCCTCTCTGCTGCGTAAGGGGAAAAATTGGTTCCTCCTCTTCTGTCTCTTCAGGGAATACTTTGCCGTGGGGGGCCATTGTGGTGGTCAGAATTCCTTAGTCCACTACTCTCTTCTGGCAAGACAGTTGTGGGATGTTGGGAGGTGGACATCCGTTTTTCTCTATTCCCGCGTCTTGAGGAGCGTCTTCCACATTCCGATGAGGATGCATCAGATCGCCGTTGGGCTGATGGAGGAACTTTCAATCTTTTAAGCGGAGGGTCACATTCCTGACGAGCCGGTGCACCAGCAGCAGCGTAGATATACCACCCTGTATCGCCCGGCCCTCCGGTCCCTTTCATCATCCATATAACGGGGGGGTTGGGGTCAAGGTCAGGGTCAGAGACTCTGGATCCCAGGCTCCCACACACGATCAAAGGAGAAGTGTGGGAGAAGGGGTATTACCCCTGTAGACGAGAGTGTGTACCGCTCCTCTGCTTGCCATTTAAAGTGCTATCAGTGGGTCTTGTGTTTATCTCAGACAAGAGGCAGGTTGTACATCATGGTTCCATGGCATGAACATGCTCTCTATATCTTCATTCTGTCAATGGACCGCTTTGCTTTGAACCAGAATGGAAAGTATCTTAGAGAGGGATCTTAGAGAGAGGAACTTGGCACCAGTGGGTCTGGCTCTGGATCTACCGAGCTGCATTTACTTCTATTCGCGTCCATGCTCTCTAAAGCCTGTGTCACATGAAGCAATTTGGACACAATTTCTGTTGCAGAGTTGCAAGTGACATCATCTCAAGCAACTTTGCTGATACACAAAGCAATTCAAACGCAATTGAAATTGCATGCAACATCCAATCCTGTCATACATCACATCCTGGTTTCATAAATGATTTTTTATTCAAACATTTGGTCATTGTAACAGCATTGATATATAGACAAAATGCTGGCTGTACAATTTAGCTAGCTAGCCAAAATGTTGCCTATTTGCCAACTATGCTTTACCAAGCTAGCTAGCAAGCTAACCAAGCTACCGACGAGCTAAGCTAGCTAGCTAGTGCAGTTCATGTTGGACAATTTCAATTGAAACTGAACAGAGAAAGGTCTGGGTTCACTTTTAAAATTACATGTATTGACTGCCAGACCATGTACATAAACCACAACTAGCCACGGTGTCTAGAATTGTTTATACATTTCCCATTTGCCATGTCTCTTTTGTCGCCATTTGTAGCAGCACTGACAGCTGTATTGACATGACAACTGGGTCGGAGTTCCGAACAGAATGATATGACGAGTCGACCGAAACTTTTTTTCTACTCACTGATTGGACATTGCATACAGTCAGTTGCGTGAAATAGGATTGATTTCTATCTCCTGCGATGCAATGCAACTAAGTTTCAGGCAACTTTTGGGGAGTGACACACGGAGCAACCCAGATGCAACTTTGTTGCAAGCAACATAAATTGCCTCCAGATTGCTTCGTGTGACATCGGCTTAAGACTCCAGTCTGGATCGTATTTTGCTGGTCATCTCCAATCACCATCTCCCATGTATTGGTGATATATCCATTAACTTGTCTCCAGTTGGCATAAGATGTTTAAACGAATTCTGGACTTCTCATTGGTACAGAGTTATAAAACATAAATACAACATTTATCATTTCTAAATGAATAAGAAAGAGGAAGTTTGACTCCACCACACTCTGTCACAAATGAAAACCAAATGCTATGCACACACACGTGCACATATAACTGAATGTGAGATTGATTAAGAGCAGAGCTCAGGAAGTGAGAGCAAGGGGTCCTTATTGTAAACTCGGACGTGTGCCATAGCCTGGGACAGTGAGTGAGAGAGAGAGAGCCCCAGACAGGGCGCCCTGCTGAGAAGCCACCCAGTCACCTAAAGGCAACAACAACCCTAGCTCTCCCTATCCAGTCCACCTCCCTGCTAGACAAACAGCACTGATACCACAGGGCCAGGAGAAACCCCCCTAGACTCCCCCAAAGATATTCTGTTTCAGCAGCAGCGTCCACCTCTGCCCTGCTTCAGAGCCCCCTTGTGTGGACAAGGGGAGGGAGTCTCCCGCCCTTTTGCTCTCATTGCCCTGTGTCTAGCTGCTCCCCCAGGCCGCTCACCACTCCCCCAGCCTTTAATGTGGGGCTTCATTACGGCCGCATCGATGTCAGTCTTAAAATGGATGCGCCCGCAGCCCCCTCAGTTAACTGCCAATCAGCAGCTCCCGTCTCTCCTCCACATTCAGAGCTGGATTACCCACGATGCCTATCAGCCCTGTCGCCCATTCTCATAAATGAAGGAGCTGATACAAGGCCTCTTTTCAGCTATATCAATATGGGAGGCTTTTCTTGACTGCCCTTTAATGTGTTGCTCTGAGCAAGAGTTCCTGTTAGCTAATTACCCTCAGGAGAGGTTGGGGGATACGGAGACATGACTAGAGGCATGCTTCAGGCTCTTTACAAGTTTCAAGAGCCAAGAGAGCCCAGTGTATTATGCACAGGCAAGAGGTAAGAGAGCTATAGCATTTATGATGAACCTTCTGACATGGGCCACTCCACTCTTCAAACTCTTCCTTTTTTGGCCTGAGTTAGATGATGAGATGGGGTTTGTATGTTAAGTAATGGAGAAACAAAGATTGCTTGATCCTTACATTTCAGAGGAGGAGTATTCCGGAGCTCTCATCCTGGTCCCTTCCTTCAGTCGGCAGCAGAACTCCTCATCGATGTGTAAGCCGGGATATGGAGAGGCACCTGGGGAGGGGAGAGGGAGAGTGAGAGGTGGAGGGTTATCAGACACTTAAATCTCCCACATAGAGAGGGTTGGATACTTTATACAGATTAGAGAAGAAAGCTTCATAAATACTAGGTTAAGACTGTTTAAACATCAACTGATTGACCTTACACATGAGCAATGATATTATACATTGAATAACATCTAGAGATAGTGCTAGAATAATGATGAAATTGGAATATCGGGGGTGAGGCATGATTTTTAAAATATAACTTTAATTCATGCTTGGCTCAGTCTAAATAAAAGCAGTAATACACTAAGCCAACTTGTATCAAATATCCAATCCAGTTGGGGTTTTCGAAAATATTGTCCATGCCATGTAATCCATAAACATTTCCTGACTCATGAACAAATATTTTCATGTACCCGACTGAGATCCCTGACACAATATCAGATAGCATCTAAATCTCCAGAGCACTATGTGGATATTAACAAGCAGTCTTAGGAGGAGGAGTCGCCTGCTAGAACACCCTTTTATCTTTTCTCTCCATCACATCAACCAATCATGGTAAACAAATAGTTTGATTACCGCATAACTCATGTCTAACACAGAAACCAGGGTGTAGTTGATGGTTTGGCACCTAAACTAACAAGACATGGAAATCCAAAACTCAAGCTGCTAGACTGCGGGTCAAGTCTCGATATGCATATGCCAGCATCTTGGGACTGGAGCAAACCTTTGACCTTCAAACACCTATCAGGTTGCCAGACCTGAGTGTTTGTAATTTTTTTGCAGTCGTTTCGTGTCCTAATTTATCTTTCTAAGACCATGTTAACTCCAACCATGATGTGTGAGTGAGCGAGTGGTTCTTTGAAGGTATATGTATCAGTGCCTGTGGGTATTTAGTCTTTTTTTATTGTATTTTATTAGGATCCCCATTAGTTGTTGCCAAGGCAGCAGCTACTCTTACTGGGGACCAAACAGAGTGTGTGTGGTTGTGACAAAGAAAGATTACAGGAGAAAGAGAGAGAGTAAGAGAGAGAGAGAGGAAGAGAGAGATAGAGAGAGAGAGAGATGAAGAAGAGAGAGAGCGATTACGATATCTCTCCTCTCCGCATGAGAGAGAGAGTGAGAGACAAAGAGAAAGCATGAGAGAGAGAGAGCGAGAGAGAGAACGAGTGTTTGCATGTACCCCATGTCTTGAGGTAGTTCACATTTCACACCCTTTTTTGTTGACCCAAGTCCTCCTGGTGATTGGCTTCATGGCAAGTGTAGCAGCACAATCAAACCTAAAGCCCTGCATCAATGTACTGTTCTTTCCTTACACTTTCCTAACATTTACTCTGAATGTTGTCCTTGCTACCTATGGTGACATTTGAGCATACAATATGTCATGTGGAGTCTTGCTATTGAACAGCTTGGTCTGCTTTGTTGCACAGTGTGAAGACTGTCATGGACCTACGTTCAATGTCTCAAAGGTTGCAGTGGTTTCACAGCAGGGGCAAACATTTACATTGATCGGCTGCTTGGTTACAGCGCATTTGCATTGCCAGCTGGGAATGGAACGGACGGCTTAAATGGGAGGTATTCTTTCTTTTTAATGGCCCTTGCCTGTGATAAAATTCACAGTCGAAGTTCACTCATGCTTTTGCATGAGCAGCATGAAAATAGTTTTCTCAAGCTGACAATGCAGCCCCGTTTTATCCCAGAGGCACAATTATGCAGTAGCAGAAGACAGTTATGACCCAGTACATCTGGAGAAGCTGCAAGGCTGGGGGCACCTTGCCTCGCTAGCTGACTGGAGACTCCTCACTGAACATCGCTGGCTGATGACAGAAAGAAACCTCTCCTTTCTTTGTAAGGAATACTGCACACTGTGTGCAAAATTGTAAGATTACATTTGCAAAAGCTTTTTTGAAAACAATTTTGAGACTATTTCATAAAAAACTAATTCTAAGCAGTAATGTTTACAGAGAAATAACAAAAACACATTTAGCATAATAGAATTTCTCTGAAAGAAGTAAATTGTGGGGCAAAAAAGGGCAGTGAGCATGGAAGCAGTCCATGTTTGTAGTTTCATTACCAGTCCTAAAACAATAGTCCTTGTAGATGAGATTCAAGATAAGGACCTACACAACAGAGGAAATCTGCATTGAATAAGTCTGTAATGTTCCAAATGGCTGCGTTGTGAAATGTGTACTGCTGTTTGTTCATTTCTGCTCATTAATTCTGCTGATTGGGAGGTCAGGTGAGGAGGTGAGGGACTATAAGGCACAGTGAGTCATTCCTGGTCAGGACTAAAGGAATGTATATTTACCCAGAGAGAAAATCTCCCACATTAGGACTCCAAAGGACCACACATCGCTTTGAGTGGTGTAGATCTTGTCAAAAATGGCCTCTGGCGCCATCCACTTGAGGGGCAGTCTGGACTGTAGGGGGGGAGAGATGGAGATAAGAGACGACAGCTCTTTTAAATCGGTATCTCATCTCACCTGTGTGACTGGCTCTCTCACTAATACCATCAATAACCAACCTGTCACATCTGAGGAGAAGCAGAAGGGCTTGAGTTGAGTAAAGTAGCATACATGCCCTCATGCCGTAGCTCTACCAAACATCCTCAACAACCAAACATCCTCTAGTCTATGCAGACAGACACGTTTATTCTGTATTCAGACAAACACTGAAATCTGCCCAGAATATCTGGCATTTCCCAGAACTATTGCATTTATTCAGTCTGTCTTTACAGTACCTTCAGAAAGTATTCACATCCTTGACTTTTTCCACATTTTGTTGTTACAGCCTGAATTTAAAATTGATTACATTGATATATTTTGGTCACTGGCCTACACACAATGCCCCATAATGTCAAAGTTGAATTATGTTTTTCGAGATTTGTACAAATTAATTACAAATGAAAAGCTGGAATGTCTTGAGTCAATAAGACCCCTTAGTTATGGCAAGCCTAAATAAGTTCAGGAGTAAAAATGTGCTTAAGAAGTCACATAAATTGTATGGACTCACTCTGTGTGCAATAAAAGTGTTTAACGTAATTTTTGAATGACAACCTCATCTCTGTACCCCACACATACAATTAATTATCTGTAAGGTCCCTCAGTCGAGTAGTGAATTCAAACACAGATTCCACCACAAAGACCAGGGAGGTTTTCCAATGCCTCGCAAAAGAAGGGCACCTATTGGTAGATGGGTAAAAAAAAGCTGACATGGAATATCCCGTTGAGCATGGTGAAGTTATTAATTACACTTTGGATGGTATATCAATACACCCAGTCACTACAAAGATATAGGCATCCTTCCTAACTCCGCTCAGGGATTTCAACAAGAGGCCAATGGTGACTATAAAACAGTTAAAGAGTTGAATGGCTGTGATAGGAGAAAACAGAGGATGGATCAACAACATTGTAGTTACTCCACAATACTAAACTAATTGACAGTGTAAAAAGAAGGAAGCCTGTACAGAATAAAAATATATATTACTAAAGTAATACTGCAAAAAATGTGGCAAAGCAAAAAACATTTTGTCCTGAATACAAAGTGTTATGTTTGGGGCAAATCCAATACAACACCATTTTCCATATTTTCAGGCATAGTGGTGGCTGCATCATGTTATGGGTATGCTTGTAATCGTTAAGGACTGGGGAGTTTTTCAGGATAAAAAAGAAACAGAATGGAGCTAAGCACAGGCAAAATCCTAGAGGAAAACCTAGTTCAGTCTGCTTTCTACCAGACACTGGGAGATGAATTCACCTTTCAGCAGGACAATAACCTAAAACACAAGGCCAAATCTACACTGGAGTTGCTTATCAAGAAGACAGTGAATGTTCCTGAGTGGCTGAGTTACAGTTTCTACTTAAATCTGCTTGAAAATCTATGGCAAGTCTTGAAAATGGCTGTGTAGCAATGATCAACAACCAATTTGACAAAGCTTGAAGAATTTTGAAAATAATATTGTACAATCCAGGTGTGTGCAAAGCTCTTACAGACTTACCCAGAAAGACTCACAGCTGTAATTGCTGCCAAAGGTGATTCTAACATGTATTGACTCAGGCGTCTGAATACTTATGTAAATTAGATATTTCTGTACTTCATTTTCAATAAATGTGGGGTATTGTGTGAATCCATTTTGAATTCAGGCTGTATCACAACAAAATGTGGAATAAGTCAAGGGGTATGAATACTTTCTGAAGGCGCTGTAGTTTTTGCCAAGTCGGTGGTAACAGACCACTGTTATTGTCCTTTTCCATCAAGCTGAGTTTTCTTGAATGATGGTAGTCAAGTTACAGTCTCTGGTCTCTTTCACACAACAGGCGGTAATCGTCAAGTCATTGGTGCATTTCATCACATATATAATGTACTTATTATGTCAGATTAATAGTAGTACAGTATGTTGCAGCTACTAACATCTCCTTTGCGAATGTAGTCTGGGTCTTTGTAGATGTCTCTGGCCAGTCCAAAATCGCAAATCTTCACAACATTATTCTCCGACAGTAAGATGTTTCTTGCAGCCAGGTCACGATGAATACACTAACGAAAAGAAGAAAAAACATACGATATGATTAGGATTGACATCAATGCATGACTTTACATGAAAGTTTGAGTTATGTGGAGATATCTCAAGTTAAGCTTCAGCCTAATGTGATAATGCATGGCTAGACCCAGGACTATTTCCTGACCATGTGACCTTACAGGAAACACTCATGGCCCTGTGCATGTCAGCTAAGACAACTATATGGAACAGTCATCAGTGATATTCTGATGTGAAGTGTTCCATATCCAGGTTAAGCCCTTCTCTCTAATGGGGATAGTTACAGCAATCGGTTCACTAATTAGTCTCATCTGCTCTCCCAGAGCTTGTGACTGACTTTTAAATGTGAATGAGCTTTAGACTGATTATAGTCAATATGCCAATAGACTCACAGGGAACATAGTTTACTATGAATGAAAAAGGTGAACAAAAACAACTTCCCCAGCTGTCAAAATACAACAGCATTTTATTAAAGTCAACTGGACAGAATAAAGCTTTATAAACTGGTATTAGTGGATTAGAAACAGCAACATGTGTCTTACCAGACTGCCTTTCGCAAACAAATTGATTTTGATACAGTAATTTGCCTAGAGGAAGTGCATACCTTGCGTGAAGCCAGGAACTCCATGCCTTTTGCAACTTGGAAACTGTAGCAAATCAAATCTTCCATCGTCAGCACTCTCTTGTACAGATCCTCTGGCTCTGAGGGTAAAACAAAACATAAAGCAGTAATGAATACAAGCTATTTTCATAAACATGATTTAGTATGGTGTAACATTAATTATGCACAATACACATGTATACATGCATGATCAACAACTCCATATATATTTTGTATGTAAGCCTCCCACACAAAAAAACCTGCAACATGCCATCATCAAAACACCTTTTGTCACGTACAGTACGGTTCATTCATCCACCTACAGTCTCTGTCTTATTAAAAACATCCTTCAAAGACAGGAGAGGATGCTTGGTGTTATTTTAGATATGGGGTGAGACGTGTGATATCGGTGCAGTGTGACAGCAGGGGGGGTTTGTGGAGGAACCCAGAGGACTCCTTCCACCATCCCACCTGAGTAAATATTTAATCACACCAGAAATAACACATCACAAAACGAAATGTCCGATACGCCAGGACCAGACAAACACTCCTGTCAGAGGAGGAAGTCAACAGAGGCCTTCTCCTCCATTCCTCCTTCTCATCCAGGCCCAGTGGGTGTCAGCCTGGGGTTCTGTTCTATCGATTGCAATTATGAACAGGAGGAGGAAATGTCCCATCAGGCCCAGGGAAGAAAACAATCAGGGGGAGGGTGGGGTGGAGGTGAGGGGAAGGAAGACGCCGTTGGCTCCTTTAGTTTACCTTCCTCCTCTTCCTCTGAGTCACAGTAGCTCTTATCTTCCACGAAGCCGGAGCTGGCCGAGCTTCCGGTGCTTGCCACGCTCTCCAGGCGCCGCTTGATGAGCTCGCTGAGGTCACAGCCCGACCCCGACGTCACCACCTCACTGTCCTGGCTCTGACAAGACACACACGAGATACAGATGCAAACCTTTAGAATGCGGCTCTGCTGACAATCTGGGCTTTTCCTATTAGGTTGAGACATAGACTAAATCATGAATGCTTTTGAATAGGTTGACTGAGAATGCAGATTTCTGAAAGCTTCAGTCATGGAGGTCCTGATTTACCTTATAAACGATGAAATCAGCCCTCTTGCTTCTCAAGTAGTTTGACAAGTTTCCATATTTGCAGTACTCCACTATCATCATCAATGGCCCTGAGAAGAAAGAAACACAGAATTCAAAGAAAATGATTAACAAGTAATGACTCATAAACTGTGAAAACAGTGTGTTGAAATCATGAAGGATTTTCTTGGAGATTCCAGCAATTTATACATTTAATTCACAAGTCATTCAGTGTGGCTAAGTTTGACCATAGAGTTAACCCTGTCCTGTCTCTCTCTCTCTCACCTCCAGGCTTGGTGCAGGCTCCCAGCAGGTTGACCACGTTCAAATGATGACCAATGTGGATCAGGATCTTCAGCTCTGACATCAGAGCCTTGCGCTCATTTGTCGTAGCTCCTCCTGTTACAACAAAAACACACAGACCATTTCAAATCAAATCAAATCAAATGTTATTGGCCACATGCGCCGAATACAACAGGTGCAGACATTACAAAAGTGTGGATGCATTTTGACTTTAAATAAAATTTTCATCTAAGTTATTTAGCTTTGTTTAAGATTACTCCAACTGATGTATGTTCATGGACGTCTGGAAACCAAACAGTATAGATGTAAAATAAAGAACAGATTTGATACATGTGGAGGAGATTTAAGATAGGCAAGGAATGTTTCATATAAGATAATAAGATCCTCTACATGAGAACATTCAATGTGCCAGGTTAAGATGGTATGCAAAGATAATGGCAGGAAATAAATTAAGTTAACATGGGAATATATATAAATTAAAAAATAAACATCCGCCTTCTCTCACATTCAAACAGATACTCGCATACAAGAGGGCACAACCCAAAGCACAGCCATACATTACATCAAAATAAACCCTGCAGCACACATAGAGAGACAATTTAACTGTTGACTGTGAACATTATTCTATCCAAGAACAGATAATGCTGTTGTTTTTCTCAGTTGTATATCTACTCTACACATCAAATAAGAGGCAGATATCTGTGTCAGGCACGCTATGAGGTCAGATGGAGGGTTATTATTAACCAAATAAACTAAACACCATCAAAGTGACTGGTCCTTTTTGGGGTGCCATCGACGCCAAAGATGAATGGTCAACCATAAGTCAACCTCTCTGCTACGTTGATCTCAAAGACTGTGGAATACTAGTCAATGTTGGGTGGCAGCCTAATGCGTCCAATGAGCCTGTGTAATGTCTCTCTCTTTCATTATCTGAAAAGCTCATCTGGCCACAGTTGGTTGGAGTTAGCAATGGTAGTAAACAATGATGTCCCTAACTGATAAACAAAATGAAAACATCGACTGAACAAAATGGTGCGAAATATTCTTGCTCTTATCCATCACTGACTCCCTGGATGTGGTTTACTCTAACAGGGATTTTAGTCGATTTTAATAATGAATCAATGACTTGAATTTAAATAATGAATGGAGAACATGAGAGTTGAGCTGAGTTTTGGGTCTGTACTTCTGCTCTGTCTTATGTTGGCTCATCACAGTGGTCCCAGCCTGCTCTGGAAGCTGGAGCTGACTGACGGTGAGTCTCAAACCACCCCTCGGAGGGTCAGTTTAAGGAAGTGAGCTGCTTTTCATTACGTTTGACCTGGGGTTCCTGGAGCAGAGCAGCGGAGCAGCAGCCAGCCGGTGCGCTTGGTTCCTCTGTGATTAATGGAAGGGGATGATTAATGCTGTGACACTGACGGAAATATCTAACAAATGGCCTGATTTATCATGTATCTAGATCTATCACAACACCATCACTATCCAGCCATGGTCCCATTAGTCTACAGAGTTAGAGTTGACCATCCCAACAGAGCCAAGTGGAAAGTTAGTTTGACCACTTCGACCCTAAGGGGATACAGCCAGTGATGTTGGGCTGAAATTATTACTCTGCTAAGATCACTCGGCCAAATCCCTTGGACAGTCTCTCTTGCTTCTGGAGTCTCTCTTCTTCCACATTGCTTTTCGCTGTTTCCATTTCGATGGAATAAATATGTTCTGCCAGATTTAGAAAGATTGTGAAATGTGGCTGTAAGTTATGGTGACCATAAATCTTATGTGGGGAAAGAAGAGGGGAGTCGTTGTTTTCAATTGTTTGTGTATCTAAAAAAACATCAGAGTTACAATCATTAATAAGGTTTGACGTGCATATTTTTTGTTGATGCATAATTTGTACCTTACACTTTTAAACTTTTCATCACCTGCAAATCTTGGACCCAAGTGGAATGCTTTCCTGATTCCTGTCATATCTGCAGACTGCCATCCTCATCAGGTACACCAAGGTCTTAGTCTCGCTCAGGCCAAACAGTCTGTGAGAAGCAGCTATCACACGCCTACTTTGAACGAATACCCCGTGCGCAACTGTTAATTGCACACACGCGCTATCACAGCTTTTGATTTCATATCATGCACGAGAAACCAAATCATCTACTGAAGTGACAGATGGCTGTTTTACATCTGTTACACTCAGAACAATGGCTGTTGTGTTTATACTGTAGGCCTGTCCACCTGCATTAGGAGAGGAGCACCTTCATCAGTACCATTTCCACCAGGTGGGAGCGAAAGGAAGCCATGTGGAAAACAACCTGTATCACTTTTCAGCATAGTTTTCCAACAGAAATGACGTGAGAGTACTGTTAATGAGCATATATTACGTTTTCAGATGAAAGTCTTGATAATAATGCCTCTACCATACCTTTCAGCATTTTGACGGCCACAGTCTTGCAGGTCGAGAGCTTGTCGATCCCAAAAGCAGAAGCCTCCACCACTTTCCCGAAGGCTCCATGGCCCAGAGTTTTGCCTGGAACAGAGAGAGAGAGAGAGAGAGAGAGAGAGAGAGAGAGAGAGAGAGAGAGAGAGAGAGAGAGAGAGAGAGAGAGAGAGAGAGAGAGAGAGAGAGAGAGAGAGAGAGAGAGAGAGAGAGAGAAAGAGAGAGGCCAGTGAGTTAAGTAAATCAGGTTGGGTTCCCTGTCAGGGGAGATATGGACCTGTAATTAACCTTTTACTGCAGTGGGCTAAATCAGGGTCACACAGAGTGATTCTTGGTCTACATTGAAACAAATCTACTTTGAAACAAAAGTATACACCTCACACACATGGTTATGGGCTTAAAAAAAAGAAGACACCTGTACCATGTCAGATATACTGTAGAGTTGAAATGTATTCAATTTTGAGTTTGAATCCCAATATTACACGTTATATACATCACAGAAGACTCGGATCTTCGTATGTAAAAAAATAAGAATCATTTTTCATTATTTAATTAAGAAAAATATTAATACCATTCCACCAATGAGGCCAAAGAGGGCGCTTTTTGTCATTGACTGCAGGAAAGGGCTACAACAACCTGCTGAGGTTCTGACCACTGGGCCCGTGAAGCGCTCCTCCAGAGGATATATAGTGCCGTTAAGACCAGGACACTAACGACGCTACACCCTCTTCACAGGGGGGTGACACTTCTGCCACATACCATCCTCTCTGGGACTATATTTCAATGTAATGGGCAAACAGGGTCGCACAGTTTAAGAGGACACAGAGTTATGGGTGACACCTCATCAAAATTACATTAACCTGTTGATGTGAAGTGTAGGGTGAACAAATAAATACACTTACAGTAGGTGCCCCTTCATGGTGCCTAAAGGCCTTTGAGTTACAGCGTCGTCATGGTGAGTGACTTCTTAGACCCTACCAGTGCTGTATGGTGTAGTAAGTTACTCACCCAGTCTGAGGCGGTCTCTGGGAAACTCCCACTTGCTGCTGTCGTACTGCAGGAGTTCACACTGCTCGTCCAGAGGAAATTCGTCTGGGTCGATGATGATGGATGGACCCATCTTATAATCCACAGACTGGAAGGGGGGGGGGAAGAGGGAGAAGAAAATGGTGATGGAGCTCATGTACAGTAAGTATGTGAAATCAAACATGATTTATTTTCATGTTAACTAAAGGACAAGAGCACATGCTCTACCATGACTGTGCCATTGCTGTAATATTACTGTAGCTACTTCTATTGTCTTAGGACTGTTGAGGCATGTTCTCTACTTTCTTGTCATACACACAAACACGAGCTCATAACTTTTCCAATGCCAGGAAATGTGGAAATCGCAAACATCAAGCTAAAATTATCCCACCCAATTAAACTGCATTTCGCAAGACACATTTCAGTGATCGCAGTTGACAAAATCTGTATAGCGAGATTGCACTCCACTCCTGAAGCTCACATACAAAAACCTCAAAAATGTAGTGTGGATGTTTGAATAGGTCTTGAGAAGGGCATGCTGTCTGCACATTGTTACAAAAAATTATTGTTTTTTAATGGCATTATGCTGTGGTTAAATTAACCTAGTGAAAAATGAATGGTGATTCAAGTCCCCAGTGCAGTATCCAAACAGCTTACACTCTCAAATGTCTTCACAGTCAAGAAGAGTGAGACAGAGAGTAGAGAACTAGCTGTGATTGCAGGGAGATCTCTTGTTACCTTCCTCAGCTTGCGGATGAAGAGGATGAGCATGAGCCAGAGGAAGGTTGCAGCAGCTCCTGTACACACCAGGACGATCACCTCAATGTTGGCCTTCCCCTCATCACCTGGAAGGACATCACAGGAACAATTAGTCAACTGTTGTTCACCGAGGAATTTAGTGTTTTCTATGATTCTTGAAAAATGTATACAAAATGATACAGTGGCTTGCGAAAGTATTCACCCCCCTTGGCATTTTTCCTATTTTGTTGCCATACAACCTGGAATCAAAATGGATTTTGGGGGGGTTTGTATAATTTGATTTACACAACATGCCTACCACTTTGAAGATGCTAAATATTTTTTATTGAGAAACAAACAAGAAATAAGACAAAAAAACAGAAAACTTGAGCGTGCATAACTATTCACCCCACCCCCCCCCCAAAGTCAATACTTTGTAGAGCCACCTTTTGCAGCAATTACAGCTGCAAGTCTCTTGGGGTATGTATCTATAAGCTTGGCACATCTAACCACTGGGATTTTTGCCCATTCTTCAAGGCAAAACTGCTCCAGCTCCTTCAAGTTGGATGGGTTTCGCTGGTGTACAGCAATCTTTAAGTCATACCACAGATTCTCAATTGGATTGAGGTCTGGGCTTTAACTAGGCCATTCCAAGACATTTAAATGTTTCCCCTTAAACCATTCGAGTGTTGCTTTAGCAGTATGCTTAGGGTCATTGTCCTGCTGGAAGGTGAACCTCCACCTCAGTCTCAAATCTCTGGAAGACTGAAACAGGTTTCCCTCAAGAATGTCCCTGTATTTAGCACCATCCATCATTCCTTCAATTCTGACCAGTTTCCCAGTCCCTGCCGATGAAAAACATGGGATGGTGTTCTCAGGGTGATGAGAGGTGTTGGGTTTGCGCCAGACATAGCTTTTTCCTTGATTGCCAAAAAGCTCAATGTTAGTCTCATCTGACCAGAGTACCTTCTTCCATATGTTTGGGGAGTCTCCCACATGCCTTTTGGCGAACACCAAACGTGTTTGCTTATTTTTTTTCTTTAAGCAATGGCTTTTTCTGGCCACTCTTCTGTAAAGCCCAGCTCTTTGGAGTGTACAGCTTAAAGTGGTCCTATGGACAGATACTCCAATCTCCGCTGTGGAGCTTTGCAGCTCTTTCAGGGTTATCTTTGGTCTCTTTGTTGTGTCACGCCCTGGCTCTAGGGACTCTTTTATGTTGAGCCAGGGTGTGTAGAGTGTATGTTTTGTGCTCTTTGTTTTCCATTCTAGTATTGTATTTCTATGTTGGCCAATGTGGTTCTCAATCAGAGGCAACGTGTATCAGCTGTTGCTTCTTGTCTCTGATTGAGAACCATACTTAAGCAGCCAGTTTTCCCACAGTGTTTGTGGGATCTTGTTCCAAGTAGGTTGTGTTTGATCCAAGGACGTCACGTTATCGTTTTGTTGTTTTTGTTCGTGTGATCTTTATTTAATAAATATGTTCGCAAATAACGCTGCGCATTGGTCCTCTGTTCCCGACGATCGTGACAGAAGATCCCACCAAAACTGGACCAAGCAGCGTGTCCAGGAGCCATCGCCAGGGGAATCGCTAGCGGATCTCCGTGGCAACCTCGACTGGGTCAAGCCTAGTGAAGAGCAGAGAGGGTGGACTTGGGAGCAGTGGAGGAAGAGTCTCGACTGGGCCAAGCCAAATGAAGAGCAGAGTGGTTGGACTTTGGAGCAGTGGAGGAAGAGTCTGGCGAGAGATAGGGAGGCTTGGTCCACGGGGAGGAGAGACACCCAGAAATTTTTTAGGGGGGGGCTCACGCCGTGGACGACAGGGCAGCAGGAGGCCGCGATGGAGCGGTCCAGCGGGTTTGCAGAGGAGGCCGCCAGGTTAAGGGGGCCACTGGTCACAGAGGAGAGGGAAAGTGTAGAGGCACGGCGAGAGGTACTGGGGTGTGTTACCAGTCCGGTCCGGCCCGTTCCTGATCCCTGCGTAGGGCCAGTGGTGTGTGTCCCCAGTACGGTCCGGCCTGTTCCTGTTCCTCGCATCGAGCCTGTGGTGCATGACGTCAGCCCGGCCCGGCCTGTTCCTGCTCCACGCACCCAGCCTATGGTGCGCGTCGCCAGCCCGGCCCGGCCTGTTCCTGCTCCCCGCACCAAGCCTATGGTGCGCGTCGCCAGCCCGGCCCGGCCCGCTCCTGCTCCCCGCACCAAGTCAGTGGTGCGCTTCGTCAGCCCGGTCCGGCCCGTTCCTGCTCCCCGCACCAAGTCAGTGGTGCGCTTCGTCAGCCCGGTCCGGCCCGTTCCTGCTCCCCGCACCAAGCCTATGGTGCGCGTTGCCAGCCTGGCCCGGCCTGTACCTGCTCCCCGCACCAAGCCTATGGTGCGCTTCGTCAGCCCGGTCCGGCCTGTTCCTGCTCCCCGCACCAAGCCTAGGGTGCGCGTCGCCAACCCGGCCCGGCCTGTTCCTGCTCCCCGCACCAAGTCAGTGGTGCGCGTCGCCAGCCCGGCCCGGTCCATTCCTGCTCTCTGCACCAAGTCAGTGGTGCGCTTCGTCAGCCCGGTCCGGCCCGCTCCTGCTCCCCGCACCAAGCCTATGGTGCACGTCGCCAGCCCGGCTCGGCCTGTTCCTGCTCCCCACACCAAGCCAGTGGTGTGCGTCGTCAGTCCGGCACAGCCCGTGCCTGTTCCACCGGTGCCTGGTCCGGTACCGGTCAGCTGCTCCACTCCGGAGCTAGAGCAATCCGCTCCACCAGTGTTCAGTCCAGCTCTGGCCAGCAGGGCCAGACCGGACCAGGGGTACTTTGGGGGGTTAGAGAGGGAGTGGGGATCATGCCCGGAGCCGGATCCGCCGCCAAGGCGGGGGTGCCCACCCGGTCCCTCCCCTGTGGTGTTTGGTTGGCGCGGTCGGAGTCCGCGCCTTTGGGGGGGGGTACTGTCACGCCCTGGCTCTAGGGACTCTTTTATGTTGAGCCAGGGTGTGTAGAGTGTATGTTTTGTGCTCTTTGTTTTCCATTCTAGTATTGTATTTCTATGTTGGCCAGTGTGGTTCTCAATCAGAGGCAACGTGTATCAGCTGTTGCTTGTTGTCTCTGATTGAGAACCATACTTAAGCAGCCAGTTTTCCCACAGTGTTTGTGGGATCTTGTTCCAAGTAGGTTGTGTTTGATCCAAGGACGTCACGTTATCGTTTTGTTGTTTTTGTTCGTGTGATCTTTATTTAATAAATATGTTCGCAAATAACGCTGCGCATTGGTCCTCTGTTCCCGACGATCGTGACATGTTGCCTCTCTGATTAATGCCCTCCTTGCCTGGTCCGTGAGTTTTGGTGGGCGGCCCTCTCTTGGCAGGCTTGTTGTGGTGCCATATTCTTTCCATTTTTTTATAATGGATTTAATGGTGCTCCGTGGGATGTTCGGATATTTTTTTATAATCCAACCCTGATCTGTACTTCTCCACAACTTTGTCCCTGACCTCTTTGGAGAGCTCCTTGGTCTTCATAGTGCCGCTTGCTTGGTGGTGCCCCTTGCTTAGTGGTGGTGCAGACTCTGGGGCCTTTCAGAACAGGTGTATATATACTGAGATCATGTGACAGATCATGTGACACTTAGATTGCACACAGGTGGACTTTATTTAACTAATTATGTGACTTCTGAAGGTAATTGGTTGCATCAGATTATCGTCAAGACCATTATGATGGAAATAAAGAGGTAAGTGACTCACCCACGACAGTGACGACAGCGCTGGCCTTCACACTTCCCTCATCGTTGCTGGCCAGACACTCGTACAAGCCCTCATCGTCTTTCTTCACTCTCTCGATCGTCAGCACCCCATCATCCCTCAGAGTAATACCTGGAACACAGCATGAAGTCTACAACTCAGATTCTATGGAGGAAATTACTAATATGGTTGAGCAATTCAGCAACGAGTAGGCCCAGGAGATTTTGCTGATCATGTGACCCAACCAGGGAAACCTCAGGGCCCCTAATCCTGAGTCATTTCCAGCTGTTCTTACCTGGACCCTCTTGTACTGGTAGGTTGTCTTTGTACCAGGTGATGTAGGGTGGCGGCACTCCCAGGGCGTAGCAGGCCATAGTCAGTGTACTGCTGCTGTTTACATCCTGATTGGTCAGGTTCTGTCTCAGCCACGGCCTCTTCCTCTCTGTTTCAATCACAAAAGCATATCTGAATTAGATCACTCTTCTATTCAAGATTTTCCTCAGCTAATCTCATCTCTCAACTGAATTTCATAATCATGAGTGGGATTATATCCAGGAGCAGGCACTTTTTAACCCAAAATACGATGTAATACAAACATATTATTCTCAGAAAGAGTTTGGCAATACCCCTATAACATGCAATTACTGTTCTGTTAGAGACCTCATTGAACACCCAGCAGGCAATGTTCTCCCTGTCACTTCCTCACCATGCACTGTCAGCACAGTCTTGACTATGACTTTCTTGTTGTGGATGTTGCGCGCCCAGCACTGGTAGCCTGCTGTGTGATTCCTGGACACATTGTGCAGGCTTAGGGAGAGAGAGATAGAGTAGGGGCTGAGCTGCAGGGCCGTGACGTTGTTGGTGATGGTGTAGTTCTGAGGGTCCTTCCACTGCAGGTCTGTGTACAGGTACCGAGTCCCCCTGCAGGTCAGAGTAACGTCATCACCCTCGATGGCAGTCTGGGGCTCGATGGCCAGGTGCTGAGGGTGATCTGGTGGGGGAGAGGGAAAAAACACATCAGGTCATTAGGAGTGTTAGAGCATTTCTTTTTGTGGGGGAGGACACCCCATTTGGGTGCCTAGTAAATGCATAAGCATGGGTTAGATTATTGTACAGTGTGCAAGTGGGTTACAAGAGCATCTTTGTTACTGCCTGTAACCCTCTCCTCTCAGCGAAATAGACACTGAAGCTGTCCTATTCTGGGAAAGAACATCTCTGAAACATCAAGCTGTGCATCACCACACCTGGAATGCCAAATTTGCAGTTATTTCCTGTTTCATCACTGTTAATTGGAAGCACGTTGGCGGTGTGCGGTGAGCAGCGCTGCTGTTCAGCCTACAGCAGTGCAATAGGAATCAGGCCGGGGTCGGCCTTGGGGGAGCCAGACTGAGTTTGTTTATTCAGAACACTGGAAAGCATTCTGTGTTCCGTAAGAGAAGACAGCTGTTATTACAATTCTGCCGTCCTCTTTTTCAGTAGCATTCCAGTGCTCTCGATCTCCACCTCTGGAATGGTGGCACATTGCAGCACTTCCTCTAGGGAATTGTCTTATTCTCATCCGGATCCTCAGAGTTTGGCATCATCAGCTGTGTCCCCAATCATAGTGTCACCACCATTCCCAATTACAATCAATCAGTTTTCAACTTAAAAAACGTCCAGGTTTTCAAAATGTTCCACTGTTATGACTGCTTGCGTGACCTGACAGCTGATTTCTCCTGTCATTACATAACTGGACTAGATGGAATTTTCATTTCATGAACATTTGGAACTGTTCAGATGCATAAAAAAATGATTCATGCAGCAGCAGGCTCCAAAAAGAAGAGAAATGGCCTGCCGGCGCTCCAGTGTACGCTCAGAGCTGTTTTTAAACTTGCGGTATTAGACTGCACCATATGGCCCAGGACATGTTTGCCTCTTCCGTTCAGTCCTGAAGCCTGCCTGCTCCAGAGGAAGATGGTTTAAATTAATGCCTCCATCTGCAATCTTTATTGCACAGTACAATCTGTGCATTCTTGCGCTTGCCACGCAATTCATTACAGTGCATATGTGTGGTCACTGGAAGCGAAACTTCATGTATGTCACAGTTACACTGTATGCCTGGCCCGTAAAAATAAAAACCACTCGAGCATTTCTGCTTGTAATTTCGCCTTATGCTGTATAAAAAATATCCAATGTTGTTCTTTCAATCAACTCCCCACGTTGTGTAGTGTTAAGTTGACCCACTTACCGTCCACATAGAAGGGGGTTTTCAGTGTACGGGTGCCAAGTTTGTTCTGGGCCGCACAGGAGTAGATCCCCGTGACGTTAGCCGCCCCCACCACTAGCGTACTCACAGTCTATGGAGGAGAGTGAATAAGCCAATCATTAGATCTACAGTACAGCCAGCAAATGCTGTACACTATATATCCTTCAAAATAGATTTTATCTCAATGAGACTAACCTGTATAAATAAAGGTTAAATGAAAAATGTTCAGGTTGGCATAAGATTCATTATACCTCAATCCATACGCACTGACACAATGTCTTTTGAAATACCCCAGCAGATTTTCCATCAACATCAGAGTGGCTATTTGCCATTAGTGAGTGTGTCAGAGGTCTGCCTTAGGCCGAGCCTGTTTTATACTCTCATCACAATAATGGAAGGATACATCTGGACCCCGCAGCACAGCTCCACAGAAAGAGTGCCTGGCCCGCCGTGTCATTTCCTGAAGAGCATTTACAATGCCACACTCGATTCTATCACCGTTGGATTGGAACCCGTTTAATGGCTTAAGTAGACACAACACTAAGTACGATTTGGGCAAGGGGCCAGATCGCGTGGGGTTCTGTTTTGTGTTCAGAACAACATCTGTTTTCAGAGCAGCTACATCAAAGGTGCTGAATGCTGTGGCTGTATTGTCTGGGTGGTGTCAACTTCCTGGGTTTCTAGCGTCATTGTGCTCTGCCCCTCAGAAACAGGGCTTTAGCCATGAGACTGGACTGTGTGTGACACATTTTCACTCTTTTAATATGGTTTCAATGTTGCAGCTCATATTGTGAGTGTGCGCTGTGTAAACATGTTTGGATGGAAAAGCTACTTAAAAGTTGTGTTAAGTTGTCTACCCCGAGTCGTTATGACATTGGTCAGAGCACTGATGGAGTAGTTGTGTGGTGTTGTTACTTTCATTACTCATGACGATGTAACGTGAGCTGGAAAACAGTCGTTTCAACAAGTGTACTCTGTCCCTAAGTGGTGACCTGACCAGATGCACTGTGACCCCAGGGAGGGCCCATGCCTCTCTCCTCCCTCCTTCCCTGGTGCTGTGACCCAGCCCGGTCGGTCCCCCTCTCCACCAGGAGCCCCTCTGAGGCTGGCCCTGCAAACCTGATTAACACTCTACTCTCATTCACGGAGAACAGCGATTTATGTGGGGTGACAGAAAATAATTATCTCCCAACAAACCGGTGCTTGTTATCACTGACCCTTAGTCCTCACCCCTATAAAACACAGGTAAATAAGGAGTGTCTTCCTATTTATGTCAATCAGAGATTGGTTGCGTTGGAAGTGAATGAGGCCTAAGCCCTCTATTACTAGGTGTGTACAGTATGTACCTGAAGGAGATCAGTTTTGGATCGATACGTAGTCAATAAAGCGGTGAATTGGGAGCATAAACAGTGTGTGGGCCTTCCTGTTCTTTACTGTATGCATACCATCAGCATGAGTCCTGTTCTTTACAGAATGTACAGTGCATTTTCCACATTTTGTTACGTTACAGCCTTATTCTAAAATGGATTCAATAAAAACAAATCCTCATCAATCTACACACAATACCCCATAATGACAAAGCAAAAACAGGTTTTTAGAAATCTTTGCAAATGTATTACAAATAAAAAACAGAAATACCTTATTTACATAAGTATTCAGACCCTTTGCTATGAGACTTGAAATTGAGCTCAGGAGGCACACACCTGTCTATATAAGGTCCCACAGTTGACAGTGCATGTCAGAGCAAAAACCAATCCATGAGGTTGAAGGAATTGTCAGTAGAGCTCCGAGACAGGATTGTGTCGAGGCACACATCTGGGGAAGTGTATCAAAAAAATTCTGCAGCATTGAAGGTGCCCAAGAACACAGTGGCCTCCATCATTCTTAAATGGAAGACGTTTGGAACCACCAAGACTCTTCCTAGAGCTGGCCGCCCAGCCAAACTGAGCAATCGGGGGAGAAGGGCCTTGGTCAGGGAGGTGACCAAGAACCCGATGGTCACTCTGACAGAGCTCCAGAGTTCCTCTGTGGAGACGAGAGAACCTTCCAGAAGGACAACCATCTATGCAGCACTCCACCAATCAGGCCTTTATGGTAGAGTGGCCAGAAGGAAGCCACTCCTCAGTAAAAGGCACATGACAGCCCGCTTGGAGTTTGCCAAAGGCACCTAAAGGACTCTCAGACCATGAGAAACAAGATTCTCTGGTCTGATGAAACCAAGATTGAACTCTTTGGCCTGAATGCCAAGCATCACGTCTGGAGGAAACCTGGCACCATTCCTACGGCGAAGCATGGTGGTGGCAGCATCATGCTGTGGAGATGTTTTTCAGCGTCAGGGACTTGGAGACTAGTCAGGATCGAGGAAAAGATGAACGGAGCAAAGTACAGAGAGATCCTTGATGAAAATCTGCTCCAGAGCGCTCAGGACCTCAGACTGGGGTGAAGGTTCAGCTTCCAACAGGACAACAACCCTAAGCACACAGCCAAGACAATGCAGGAGTGGCTTCGGGACAAGTCTCTGAATGTCCTTGAGTGGCACAGCCAGAGCCCAGACTTGAACCCGATCGAACATCTCTGGAGAGATCTGAAAATAGCTGTGCAGCGACGCTCCCCATCCAACCTGACAGAGCTTGAGAGGATCTGCAGAGAAGAATGGGAGAAACTCCCCAAATACAGGTGTGCCAAGCTTGTAGTGTCATACCCAATAAGACTCGAGGCTGTAATCGCTGCCAAAGGTAGTTCAACAAAGTACTAAGTAAAGGGTCTGAATACTTATGTAAATACTTACTGTGATATTTCAGTTGTTTATTTTTAATAAATTAGCAAAGAAATCTACAAACCTGTTTTTAATTTGTCATTATGGGGTATTGTGTATAGATTGATGAGGGGTAAAACATCTTCAATTTTTGAATAAGGCTGTAACCAAAAAAAATGGGGTCTGAATACTTTCCGAATGCACTGTATTCTATTAGCATGATTCCCATTCTTTACAGTAAGTATACCATTAGCATGATTCCCATTCTTTACAGTAAGTATACCATTAGCATGATTCCCATTCTTTACAGTAAGTATACCATTAGCATGATTCCCATTCTTTACAGTAAGTATACCATTAGCATGATTCCCATTCTTTACAGTAAGTATACCATTAGCATGATTCCCATTCTTTACAGTAAGTATACCATTAGCATGATTCCCATTCTTTACAGTAAGTATACCATTAGCATGATTCCCATTCTTTACAGTAAGTATACCATTAGCATGATTCGAAATCCCATCAACCATGCATCATCAGAGGGGGAAACACCTTCACAAATCTCCTATAGGGGAAAGCTGGAGAAATACAGTTTCATAAGATTTACTACACCAGCATACGTGTTTGAGTAATGACTCATTATTACCAGTATTTTCTTTGCTGGTAGGTTTGCTTGTGCTGTTGAAATGCTTATATGCTGGCTAGATTTATGCCCCAATTTGACAGTATGTTAGAACGGCGGATTTCAACTAATCCTATAGATGGGCTTTTGGGGAAAGCAGTTGAGGCCTGCACTTAATTACGTTTGAGGTGAATGGTTTTGGTAACAAGCTCCTCTAGGACATGTGCTGTAATGTATACAGTCTCCATGTTCAGTATGCTTTGGGAACGCATGCCAATATGTGGGCCATTTTATGTGAGAAGAAGTGATTTTTAGTAAACTGCAGGGCAAATTGTAGAAACTTCTATTGTAGACTTAGGAACTAATAGTTGTGGGGTTATATGGTCAAGGAGTCCCAGGTGAACACTTTTAAGATTGTAATTCTTTGCATACCTATTGTGGTCCCCATATACCTAACCATTACATTCAACTTTGCTGTAATAATACAGATATGCTGAAAAAAATGAAAATAACAAATTATTCCAATTTCCAAACGTTGTTTCAGTAGTTCCAGCGATTACGGCTGATCTCTTCAGAGGTCAGTGGAGTTAGGAGGGAACCTATAAAAGTCCATTCTCCGCTGTCTGCACACGCATGGCTTGAGCCGTATGGCTGTATTGGGCTGTTTACGAGGAGCTCCACAGCCCTCAGTGTTCCAACAGACAAAGATCCACTGATGTCAGAATAAACGCTGCTCTCTGGAAAACCAGGCAGCTGCATCATTTACAGGCCTAGCTGCTTTAGATCCAAGGTCTGCGTTTTGTTCTGAGGGTGTTTTTCACTCCAGCAGGGTGAAATGAACTGTGTCTTTCAGTTAATGGGGCAGATGGACGAATGATTCAGGAAAGCAGCCCTGAAGAGAGCCAAAATACTTTTTCTTCATGGCAGTTCTGGCACTCGACTTGCTTTGACCTTAATTGAAGGCTAAGGGGCTTCTTTTAATAAAAAGCAAATCATGTCAGATATGATGGTCTGTTTGTTGCTGACAGCATATGCGAAATGACAGATGAGTTGCTTTAGTGGCAGTTACTGCAGCGTAAACAATAAAGTGGGTTTCATTGTCATAAATATGCCTACTGGGTATACACTAAATGTATTTGACCATATATAGCTTTTTCTCTGTACATGTTTTATATTACAATGTATAAATTAACTGTTTTTACGATGTACTGTACAGACTGTACTGTACTATATTTCATTATACATGCATATTGATGTTCCTTCCATAACTTTTGGTCACAGTTACATAAGTCTAAATTGATGCAGATAGAATTAATCATTATAAAACATAGAATAACAAGGCATCACTGCCAATATGAGGTTGGGGATTGCCTAGATTTATTGTTTTCAGATGTTGCCATCTCAAAGAGAACGGTCATGGAGATTTCCACTTCAGTGTTCATCTCTCCGAGCCCTCTATATGGACATTTACTCTAAATCCCTTTCTCATACAGTAAATCTCAAAGTAATTGTTGTACTGCACAACTATTTTGTCATTGAAATTTATATTTCTGCTCAGATACTGTATATTTATCAAACCTGATTCATATATGAAAAGTACACCCACATGAATCATTGTTCTAATAATAATAATAATATGCCATTTAGCAGACGCTTTTATCCAAAGCGACTTACAGTCATGCGTGCATACATTTTTGTGTATGGGTGGTCCCGGGGATCGAACCCACTACCTTGGCGTTACAAGCGCCGTGCTCTACCAGCTGAGCTACAGAGGACTAAGTTGTGCAATGTTAAGCAGTGTCATGTTACAAATCTAATGAGATCAAAACCATACTATACACATACCTTGTTCTTTCCTTTCACCAGTTCAGTTTTGTTGTTTATGCTGTCAATCCAGTTGTGTGAGTAGTTCCCCTTATCGTCCATTTGAACTGGGATTGGCTCAGTGTAAAGGGTGCACCTGCAGGACAGAGGAAACTAGTGATTACTCAACTAGACAAAACAGCTGTAGGTTACCTAAAGTATGAACTCAGTTTTGTAAATTAGTACAGAATATTGGACAGGAGACTGTTAGAGCAGGATGTTGTGTGGCCATGTCATCATTTCCTGTATTTAATTAGTGGGTACCAGAAAATATACTATGGACCATCGATTGATACTATGGACCAGCGATAGCTGTCCAAACAGTTTGACAATGTGTAACTCTGAACGGGCAGGCACTAAGCCCTAAGAGCTCTGACTAACACCATAGCTTTTGTGTGGCCTTTTAGGGTGCAGTGGGCTACAGCCCAGTTAAACCAGACTGCCTGCTGAGGGGAACAATCAGGCTGATAAGGAGCAAGGCAGTCAGGCAGGCAGGACGAAACGGCAGTGTGACAGGAAGGCCTATGCTATGCTTTTTATTTATCCCTTATTTTACCAGGTAAGTTGACTGAGAACACATTCTCATTTACAGCAGCAACCTGGGGAATAGTTACAGGGGAGAGGAGGGGGAATAAATGAGACAACTGGAAGCTGGGGATGATTAGGTGGCCATGATGGTATGGATGGTCAGAACACCAGGATTAACACCCCTACAATAAGTGCCATGGGATCTTTAGTGACCACAGAGAGTCAGGACACCCGTTTATCGTCCCATCCAAAAGATGGCATCCTACACAGAGGAACGTCCCCAATCACGATAAAAAATGTTAGACCAGAGGAAAAACACCTCCTAATGGCCCTCCAACACCACTACAGCAGCATCTGGTCTCCCATCCTGGGACTGACCAGGACCGACCCTGCTTAGCTTCAGAGGCAAGCCAGCAGAGGGATGCAGGGTAGTATGCTGCTGGCTATACGTCACCTTGAACAGGAAACCTCCCCCACTCTCTGGCCAGAGGAGATAAGCCTGTTCCCCAGACCTTGGTGGGTCAACAAGGAACAGCTGATACCATCTTACCCTGCTGCTGATAAAGAAAGACCCCCCCCCCCCCTTCATCTCTCCCCATCTCCCAATCACTCTTTCTTTAACTCCCAACTGCTATCTGAGACGTTACGCTTCCCCAACCACAAGGGGACTGTGATTCGTGATTTATACGAGGTCCCATCCTGAAATGGTAAGTGGTCAATTTGCAGTGACAGGTACTTGAAGGGGGTCTGAACTGTATAAAACAAACATTTGACTCAATCTGCCTCCAATCAGGCCGTGGCTGGCCTGGGCTGTTTCTCTGTCTGATGCACCTCCCTCATTAGCTGTTGAAAAAACAGGCCCTTTTCAGCGTCAAACGTTTATGAGCCACTGTTTCCATTGCCAGAGCTGATTATCTTTACGGCTGCAGAAACGGGGCACGTTGACACAGCTTGACCCTCTGCCATTATTTCTGTGACAAATTTGGCAACCAGGAGTGGGTTTTTTAACCAATAATTATGGATAATTAACAGAAGCACTTGTCAAGTTAATGCGCATGAAGTGTAACATAATTCAAGCCCTCCATTGTGAGGCCGTCCAGAGCCGTGTTTTTCTAGCGGTGTTGGGTCCTGATAACCCCGCGGTAATGGCCCATTGTTTGTCTGATCTTATGCCTCAGAAAGGACCCCTGCTGTCACTGACTGGGGTCTGGCTGCTCTTGCTTTCAGGGAATGTTCATGTTGTTTAAGGTTCACTAGCAGGTCGACATTCACGCCCAGTCACTCATACCACACGCTCTGTCCCGTTCAGCTCTATAAAAGCTTGGGGAGTCTGAGACTACAGTTTTTTTCGATTGCTAACAAGCATTGTTCAATACTGCGGATACATGTGCAAAACTCTAAATACAGTTATAAAAACAACATGCAACTTGGCAATGCACATCCTACATTTCTCAAAAGCAAATCTTTCTACTAAATGAAAGCTAACAGTCTCTCACGACATGCACACTTTGTCATTCATAGTATCATGACCTACACAACTCTAAAAACAGCTACCACTTGAAAATGTGTCAATTTGTCTTTAATATCTTTTTATATTTTTATGAACCAACAGTCATTTTTACAAAAGAAGAGTGGCAAACCTGTACTGTATAGAATGTCCTGCAAGATATGTAAAGAAATAAAGCAGAAAGGCTGCAATATGCTTCAATACAATTTACTGTATTTTTGCAAATTACTGTATTTTGCTTTTTGCAGAGTAATTCCAAAATACACAAAAATAAATAAATCCAGTACCGTTAAACAAACAAAAAGTGTATACACACTATGAATATGCATAGCATATTGTCCAAATGAAACAGATATATAACAATGCTAGTCAACCCTGTCTGCTGCATTGGGCCACAAGTTCTCATCCACATCACACCGTACGGCCTCTCGTGCAATACACCTGGGAAATAATCTCTTTGCATGCCTGATCCATCCCTGGTAATCTTCTGCAGAGATATCCAGGCATCTTGCATTCATTGCATCCAAGAGTGACATTTGATCATGTGGATGGTGGTCATAAACTTTCCACCTCCATGAGGAAAATAATTATTCTATGGGGTTGAGGAAGGGCGAGTAAGGGGGGAGGAAAAGTGTCACCATCCCAGGATGGGCTGCAAACCACTCTGTGACTGAATGGGAGTGGTGAAATGCCACATTGTCCCATACAATCACCTAGGTTTTCATATTTCTTCTGACTTGTCCCATTCTTCACCTGGCAAAAGCCTTCCATAGAGGTCAGCCATGAAGGAAATGAGGCACTCTGTGTTGTATGGACCAATTAGTGGTTTATGTAACAGCAATCCTTCAGAGGATATTGCGGCACACATTGTGATGTTGGCACCCCTCTGGCCTGGGACATTCACTGTTACTAACCGTTAACCGTTTTGATAAGGGTATATTAACATTTGTAAAATGATACATAGAGTTTTGTTGGTAAATGTGTTTTTGTGAGACAAGTATTTATGTAATTTGAAAGATGTTGTCATTGAATGCATTTTGTGTCAAAGCAATGACAAATGATCCACAGGTTGCCACATAGAGTGTTGTTGTGATAACTGTATTTAGAGTTTTGCACATGTATCCGCAGTATTGAACAATGCTTGTTAGCAATAAAAAAAAGTTTTAATATATTCTCTCTCCCCGCCCACAGAGCCACTGGCCACAAATGAGTGGGGAATTCTCCGGGGCTGCATTTCTTTGATAAATGTCTGTGTTTTGGGCCAGAGTCAATTAAACGGATGCAGGCCTGTTTAAGGAGAAGGAGCCCCAGGCTAGCCCGGTGGTTCTGGACTCCAGACTCACACAGATGATCTGGTTTTGTGTCTGTGTGTCTGTGTGTCTGTGTGTCTGTCTGTCTGTCTGTCTGTCTGTGTGTGTGTGTGTGTGTGTGTGTGTGTGTGTGTGTGTGTGTGTGTGTGTGTGTGTGTGTGTGTGTGTGTGTGTGTGTGTGTGTGTGTGCGTGTGTGTGTGTGTGCGTGCATGTGTGTGTGTGTGCGTGTGTGTGTGTGTGTGGGGGGGGGGGGGGGTGTTTGTGTGATCCAGTTCCAATACTGTGACAGCTGAGCTCAGCGTCCAACAAACCTAAACACTCATCCAAAACATAACCAGGATGTGCACTGGCTAAGACAATGCTGGTCTGCTTTAGCAATAATGTCTGTTCATACAGGCCTGACAGAGGACAATACAACTCAAGGCAGTGTGGACAAGGCAGTGTTTCACCATACCTACAGAAATAACTAGAAATGCACAGTGACTTCAGGATGAGAAAACACACAACTCTCCCTGTGACCTCTCTGTTATCTGCATGAAACTGGCCATTTCTGTCAGTCGAACCTGTAGTCAGATGGTCCTGATGACTCAGATCCTTTTGATCCATAGGCTGGGTGTTTGAGGAAGAAGATATGACTTTCATCTAAGTTCTGGGTTTATTGCTTTGGTTCTTGGAAGTCGTGTCTTATGATTGTGCATGGCATTGATACTGTATCTTCCCAGTTCTATGGTATTCTTATGGTTTACTGAAAAACAATGGAAGTACATTACCAATGAAGGTTCATTGTGAAAGTGAAAAACAAGAAGTGAAGAACACAGAATTGTGTTACTAAATGGGTTAAGGTTAAAAGGCACTAATGCAGTAGGTGAATTCAAACAAAATGGTCTTCACAGTATAGTTCATGATTTAGTTTAGAGTGACTCACTCTTTGTCGGTGGGGTCAGGATGGCATGGTTGCCAGAGCCATGTGATGTCGGGCATGGGCACTCCAAAGGCGGTGCAGGTTAGCTGGTGTTGCTTGCCGAACATGTATGGTTGTACATCCACCGAGGCCACCTCCTCTTCTGAGATCATAGGCCTCACTAAGACACAGACAAAGAGATCAGACACTGTTGCATCAACCATTACACTCTACCTGGCTGTTGGAGGTCATAATGTCTTTATAATGATAGAGAGGTCCGTCATCATGATGAATAACCATGGAAAAGGTGCCATCAACATCCAGTTGTCTTCTAGCCTCTGAGAGTGGGCTTTCAAGTGCTGAGTGATTGCATAGCCCTGATACCCTGTGGTTGTCCATCACATCAGGGTGTCCCAGTGTCTCAGAGCCTGACCTCTACCCTGCTGCCTCTGGGCCAGATGTGGCCCTATGCCCAGGCCCAGGTCAGTGGATCAGCAGTGTGGGAGAGCACAGCAGTAATCAACACCAGACTGACTGGCGGACGGACAGACTTGATGCCACCTCCAGTGGAATGCTCTGCTAACATCAGTTAATCATTCTCCAACAGTCATTGTGTGTGTGTGTGTGTTTGTGTTTGTTTTGTTTGTGTGCCTGCGTGCATTGGTGAGGCTGAGGCTGAAGTCGTGACATGGTTTCTCTCAGCAATGTCCTCAATTCAAGCTCCGGCTGCTGAATATTTGAGATCTGAAGCACTGGGCTAAACTTCAAACTCTTGAAGAACGATGTTTAAAATGGTTGCCTAATTGTTCCCAGGAATCTCTCTTGATTTCTCCTTTCTTTGTTTTTGTCTGTGAGAGTGGTAAATTTTTTGCCATTCCAATAATTATGTTGCGTCGAGCAATCAGGACAGCGAGGGTCCATAGATAACATTTATATGTTGGAGAGGGGGGCTGATCTTTCCACTTTGGCATGGTAGGGGGATTCATGGGTAATGTGCAGGGAATGGGATGGAAATACTTTGTGATGCGTTCTTTTGCCCCCCATCGCCAGCTTGGAGTAGTATCTGAGTGGCACACGTGTTCTTAACGGCAAGCAGATTGCACTCCTCGACTCTCCATCCAACACATGATCAAAGCCCTAGAACATAATACCGAGCACTTCTATAACCGCTGGTGTTAACAACCATCAGTATTTACATGGCAATCATTGCAATATATTTGTTTGAACGCTCTTTGCTAAAGCATATAAAGTACACAAATAGCCCTATATAATGTACAGAACACAGTTGTTTACATGAGCGGTGCTGGGCCAGATGGGCTACATACACATGGAGAGGATGTAAATAAATGGTTGCCCAAGATGACGCTTCCAATGGAGTTATGTCTGTCTCTGCCTTAGCTCAGTGAGACCTTGCCTTCACGCAGTACCAGTTCCTAACACACTGACCCACCGCAGATGGTGACCTTGGCTGATGCGTGCTTCTAGTTCCCCATCTCAGCGTTCCCTATCTCAGCCGTGCACCTGTATGTGAGGAGCTAGAGAGGCTGGGTTCCTGTCATACTGGAGCAGCTGCTACCTGCAGCCCAGGACCAACCAGAGGCAAGAACCCAAAGCGCTGAGGCTGCTCGAAATGCTGAGGCCCAAAGTCCAGGCCATTGCTTCATTTCCTCAGGATGGCCAGTCATTTGGAGGGATAAGGAATGGGATATAGGATGGGATATAACGGCGATATAAAAGGAGCTTTACCTCGGACTACCAGAGTGTAGCTGAGATTCCTGTAGAGGCCTCTCTCCTTGTTGCCCAGGGCGATGGTGAAGACCCCGGCATCCTTCTGCTTCACGTCCTTGATGAGGAGGTTGTAGCCTGAAGACTCGTAACAAGTGGAGTTCTCGTTGATGGGGACGCCATCCTTATACCTGGGAACGAGATACTCCGACATTTGCTTTAGAAGTTCAGCTAATCATAATGTACTGATATGAAAGTTGTGATGATAATTAGTGAGCAACTCTATATCCCAAATCAAATACTTGCATGCTTCAGTTTAGTGCCCACAGTCACAACAGAGCTATTATATTCATTAGGAGTTGACAATACACACAGTGAATAGTCCCAGCAGATGAACTCAGTCTTACCATGTGATGGTGTCTGGTGGTGGCAGTGCATTGACCTTGGGTTCAAACATCAGCTTGTTTCTTCCCTCTGTGTAGACCACTCTCCTGGCCCATTCATTCTTATAGGATACATTCAGGTATGGATGTTCTGAAATCACACAGAAGAAGACCAATTGCAAGAGCATTAAAACGACTGTCGAAAAACAACACTATAAATGTATTATAAATGAGATCACACAATCATTGCCCAAGATTAAGCTTACAATGGAGTTATGTCTGTCTCTGCCTTAGCTCAGTGAGACCTTGTCTTCACGCAGTACCAGTTCCTAACACACTGACCCACCATAGATGGTGACCTTGGCTGAGGCGTGCATCTTGTTCCCCATCTCAGCGTTCCCTATCTCAGCCGTGCACCTGTACGTGCCCCTGTCGTCCATGGTGATGTTGGACAAGGTGATGGCTTTGTACATCCTGGTGATCGAAGCCGGATTCTCTCTGGTCTTCTTGACGGTGGGGTTCCGATTGACCTGGGGACGCAAAGGCATTCATCAACAAGCCTGAAACATTTACCAGTAATTGACCAGTAATCTTAAAAATCAAATCAAATGTTATTTGTCACATGCACCAAATACAACATGTGTAGACCTTACTGTGAAATGCTTATTTACAAGCCCTTAACCAACAATGCAGTTCAAGAAATATTTACTAAATAAACTCAAGCAAAAATGTAAATAGTCCGGGTGGCCATTTGATTAATTATTCAGCTGTCTTGTAGCTTGGGGTAGAAGCTGTTAAGGAGCCTTTTGGACCTAGACTTGGCGCTCCGGTACCGCTTGCCGTGCGGTAGCAGAGAGAACAGTCTATGACTTGGGTGACTGGAGTCTTTGACAATTTTTTGGGCCTTCCTCTGACACCGCCTAGTATATAGGTCCTGGATGGCAGGAAGCTTGGCCCCAGTGATGTATTGGGCCGTACACACTACCCTCTGTAGCGCCTTACGGTCGGATGCCGAGCAGTTGCCATACCAGGTGGTGATGCAACCGGTCAGGATGCTCTCGATGGTGCAGTTGTATAACTTTTTGAGGATCTGGGGACCCATGCCAAATCTTTTCAGTCTCCTGAGGGGGAAAAGGTGTTGTTGTGCCCTCTTCACGACTGTCTTGGTGAGTTTGGACCATGATAGTCGGTGAAGTGGACACCAAGGAACTTGAAACTCTCGACCCACTCCACTACAGCCCCGTCGATGTTAATGGGGGCCTGTTCGGCACTCCTTTTCCTGTAGTCCACGATCATCTCCTTTGTCTTGATCGCGTTGATGGAGAGGTTGTTGTCCTGACACCACACTGCCAGGTCTCTGACCTCCTCCCTATAGGCTGTCTCATCGTTGTCGGTGATCAGGCCTAACACTGTTGTGTCGTCAGCAAACTTAATGATGGTGTTGGAGTCGTGCTTGGCCACGCAGTCGTGCGTGAACAGGGAGTACAGGAGGGGACTAAGTATGCACCTCTGAGGGGCCCCAGTGTTGAGGATCAGCATGGCAGATGTGTTGTTGCCTACCCTTACCACCTGGGGGCGGCCCGTCAGGAAGTCCAGATGTTGAATGACTTAGAACTTACCATCCTCTTTGGGTATTCCCAGTGGAAGTTGATCCTTCCGTTGAAGGTGGTCTCTGCAGAGCAGTTGAGGACCAGGGTTTCTCCCACTAACAGCTTGTTACGTTCTGGGTTGATCTTTACATTCCTCAGGAAGGTAGCTATGCAAGCAGAGTTAGAAGGGAAGACAGTGAAAATGAATCAACATCCTCAGTAATTTCCCTGTCTCTCGTAGCCCTTTCCTGCAGTCACATGACCTAGTGGCCTCAAGGGTGGAATGTTATAAATATGTTTCATAATTTCATAATTAATGAACACTATTTAAAGAAACCCTCTGAAAATCCGGTGTTTCTATGGGAACGGTTTTGTTATATTTCAGTCTTCTGTAATGTATATCAAGTGTAATATTGGAATGCAAACTCAAAATTGAATACATTTCTATTTTGTTTTAAGCCCATAACCATGTGTGTGAGGTGTATAGTTTTGTGTCAAAGCAGATTTGTTTTAGACTACCAAGAAACACTCTGTGTAACCCTGATTTATCCCACTGCAGTACAAGGTTAAAAGCTCAATAAGAAAAGGAGAAGTGACTCACTTAGCCTCCAAGGGATGTAGCGGGACTCGACCCGTTGGCCGTTGACGCTGGTGACACAGATCAGGAAACTAAAGGATTCGTAGGGACCATATGGGATCTTGAAGCCTATTTTGGGGTCCCATTCCTTCCCTTGTTCAATCTCCTCTGATAAGGGTGGCAGCTGAAAGAAGAGACAGATAGCAAAGTGTTTATCAAGAGGCTTATATGTTTAGTCACACTTTTAGTTCTGCAGTCTTTAAAAAGCACTCAGCCAGTCAGACTAAAGTGGCTTTGATATGAAACTCCACACTCCAATGAGCTCAGCTGGAGATGACTGCCCGTTAGAACCGACGTCTAATTCATTTTTACGGTTTTATGGAGTGTAACTATCGCAATTATTCACGCAGCGATGCACGGAGCACTGTTGACTTTGAACAAGGGATGAAATGGATGGATGTGGTTAAGGCCTACTACTGCGGTTGTTTGTTCTCCAGCCAAGTGTTATGCTGCTGGGAGAGCGAGGGGAAGTAAGGAAGCAGGGAGGAAGGAGAAATGCCATAGATCTTCCAGTAGCAGGGAGGTCACACAACCCACTATATTTGCCATCTGAATAAGACATGTTTGTCCATGTCCAAGGCATTGTGACACACAGCTATAAATCAACCCTGTGAATACAAGCACAGCCATCGATTGTTGAAGGTGGCGGCTCTGAGCTCTGGCATCATGGCAACATGCAGCAGAAGTCCCACTCTGTTCATTGTTGCACATGGTTTATAGGAAGGCCGTCTCATGTTATAGGATACTGTAATAAGACAAGGAGCTTGGTCACTGTGACCTAGTACTGTGCACCCAACTCCTCCGAGAGAGATTTCCTCCTATAGTTTGATTAAAAACCACTTAACTCTCCTCAGGAGCATCATCAGCCTATTGTTTCCTCTGATTGGATATGTATTGCTTTTTAGACCAGCATTTTCTGGACAAAATGTTTAAAACAAGAGGTCTTCTATATTTAGAGAGAGATTCTATTCTGCAGAATAACTACCTTAGAGGACCTTCCTGTTCTTAGCAGGAAGCAGACAGGATGACTCCCTCTCCTGCCCCTGAGCTTCCCCTCTCCGTGGCCACTGTCCGTTTCCGAATGCTTGAGTGGCCTACCGTTTGATGGGTGTGAGAACACATAAGATGCCCATAGTGCACAGGGCCTGTGTTTACCATGTTTCTTTGCGATCTTGACTTCAGTGACGTCAATGGCAGACTTTCAAGGTACACTCTGGTAAAGTAATCAGTCTCATGCCCATACTATCTCAAAGCGTGTACAACTGGTCAACATTGCTTAGCATAATAATAATAAATGCTAACATTTGCTCTCTTGTGAAAGAGAATGTGAATGATATGCCCCTTTTTAAGATACAGAAACTAATAATCATAAAAAGTCTTACCCCTTCAAGAGTGACAATCTGGTCAGGAGAAGATGTTCTACAGGGAATCACTAGGGTGGCCTCATGTCTGTATGTAAGCAAGGTGTATGGAGTGGGGAAATGGTGCTCCACAAACGGATGCTGGTGATCTGTAGAACAAATGAAAGAAAATATCAATAATTACTCCAAAAGCCATTTTTTTCTATGAATTTCATGAATTTCATTAGCTGTATTTTATTAAAAGTAGGGGTGAAAAGGATTCTTTAAAATCTGTTTTTTAAGTTCAGTAGAGTCAGGGTAATGTCAGGCCATCTATCTCACACAGAGATCATCAAACAGAATCTCCTCGACCAGTGAGATCAGCTCATTCTCCAAACCCCCTCCTTCTCCTCCTGCTAGGTGCAGCTCTGGATAAAGAAACAGGGTTGAGAAAGAACTATCAAAGCTATCACAGCACCAGTCTTTCTCACCAGGGCAGGCACCCAATACCTCTCTGACTGGCTGTTCTTTCACAGACCTGCTGTGGGAACTTTGCTGTTACACAAATACTTCAGTGATTTGTGCGAGGCTGAGCTGTTTTGGCATGATAAAACGGACTAGTATTTGTAAAACAAACAGGGAAAATTATGTAATAAACAGTTGAAAGGCTTTGAAAGAGGCCTGGTTAGACTAAACATGGGGCTACCAGGCTGTCAGATCGCCAGGGGAGGCAAAGAGAGCAGCCAGGGAATTAGGCTAGGACCTCAACCTAAGGAGTCCAGTACTTTTTGCGTCGCAATTTTTATTTGGCCAGGAATATCAGCATCTGCCAGATATTAAGACAAATTTGTGCACACACATCACAGGAGCTGGACCAAAATATGTCCTGGACAAAAATATGTCCTGGCAGAGATAGAAAGGAACTCACTGTTTGTTTCATCCAGAAAAGGTTATTCATCATGCTTGACTTTCTTATCTTTCTGCCCAGATATTTCATGAGACCTATCCCCACCACATTCCCTCAGACTAAGACCTTGACATTTTTGGAGGGACACTGATGGCAATCTCAACTATGACAATGTTTTAAGGTATTTAGTGTTGCCCTGCAATGCTCTCACTAAGGAGCTATTTGCAAGTGTTTGTACGTGCAGTTTGTCTATTTCGTAGAGGTCACTCTCAATATTTTGAGGGAGGACTAAGCCTGTAACATGGGAGAGACCATAGCTGGTATCGTGAGAGGCTCCAGGAGAGACTAACTGGAAAAACAGAAGCCGGAAATAATAGTCAATGACAAGGGCTTCCGATGCGATCACACTCTCCTTCCCTGTTCCAGAAGGAGTCGGACAGCAGGGGAAAGCCTTCCTCTGAGAGGCACAACTCAGTTCCTTCTGTATGGCTTGGATTAGACTCCTTAAAATTAAAAATCCCCTCCCAACATATAGTCATATATCTGTAATTACAAACCATCCTCTTCACAACATGTGGAGAGTTATGGCTGTTATGGCCTTTATTTATACATTTTTCTCACTTATTCTGTCTTTTTTTTCTGAAAGACTGGCTGGCTTCCAGCTCCTGTATCATGCAGGAAGACGTCAGGCTGCTCAGTGACCATGGCTCTAAACTGGCCCTTAAGAGCCTCTGTTTTTCTAATAGTTGGCTCAGTTTACACAGTACTGCACTGTAGGCGTCAGCCCATTTAAAATCCCCCCCCTGTTCTTTAGAGGGAATTTGTTGAACTTATGCTGTTGTGAAACAAACCAACTCAAATGGAAAAGATGAAGAAAAACATACAAATCAGGAGTGAAAAAGATCCTTATCGGCGTTAAACAAACGATTTAATCACAAAGGGAGATCCTTTTCATACCAATTTTCACACACTGGGAGCGATTGGCTTATTATGGACTTTACGCTAGAGTTCTGCTACCCGACCTGAGCCCGATGGGCCCCGACATTAAACATCAGGTTAGGGCCGGGCCCCGACATTAAACATCAGGTTAGGGCCGGGAAGGGCCCGTTTTTTCATCAATTACTAGGGTACGGATAGGGCTCGGGTATCACTAAATTGATCATTAACATTTTGAAGCTGAGCCAATTGCTTGTGTTTTGCTGCAAAGTACATATCATGGTGTCAGAAGTGCTTCAATCTTGTCAAATATAAGACTAGAACATTGTCCGAGTCCACAGGAGAGAATATTTTACAAGAAAAATTTGTGTTTAGAGGGACAAAAAGTAGCTAGTTTACAGCTAACTGCTCTCTGTCTTGTCATTGAGCAGAACAGCAAGCAGAGGCGTTGCTATGGATACTCATGCACAGAGCGCATGCAGAGCGAGCAGCGCAGAGAGGGGGAGAACAGACAGAGATGGCTAATGGATCCTAACAAAGGATATTATTTCTGATTTCGGGTTCGGGCAGGTCCAGGCCTTCCATTTGGCAGAAGCAATCGGGCCTGGGTAGGGTAGGGCCTGAACGTCGCAAGCATGGGTAGGCCTTGGGCTTAAAATTCATGCCTGTGCAGGGCACTACTTCACACAAGAATGTCATTATAGAACTCAACAATGATGATTTACTCTGTCAGCATACACTTTATACTGTACGTAAAGCACTTTGGTCTGCAAATACCATACTGTATGAAAGGGGCTATGCCATTGGACAATGTCTGAACAGTATAAAGTGGGACTCACCTTTGACGTAGATGTAGGTGGAGCTGACGTCGGCGGAGGGCTGGGTGTACCTGCAGCTGTAGAGGCCTGTGTCGTTGGGGCTCAGGTGACTCACTAGCAGTTTACTGCAGTGGGCGTGCATTCGGGGCTCACACTCCTCCACACGCACCCCCTCCGAGGTGATGTCCCGCCAGGGCAGCCTCCAGTACAGCTGGGCAGCACCTCTGATAAAGACACAGCAGAAGTAAGCCCTAAGAACTGATACAGGATCAGATATTATTTATTATCCTGTAAATGTGTATTGAGGGTAGGGAAAACTGATTCTAGATCTGTGGTTAAGGGCAACATCTAAGTCAAGCAACAAAGTACAGAGGGTCAATCTGAGAGGGTCAGCCACTCCTACCGCCACTAGGGCTCTGGGTCGTCACCCTCAAGTCAGCAGCATCACCAGGTCAAATACCTTCATTGTTTCACCTGATTTATGCACACAAACATACTCTCAAATGTCACAGGCACAAGCTCCTAAAGCTGGAATCCTTAATTGAAACAATAACAAATTGGTCACCCCGCCCTGTGTTTGGGTAAAAAGCTGAGGGATGGGCCTGGAGAAATATAAGCACTCTCAAATTCATAGACAGAGCTATGGATGCAAGGACTGACCATCCATGATATCAAACTTATAGTTTTAACCATGTTTTTAGAATATACAGTGTTTGTTTAAATGTACATTGTTTAAAACAAGATGATATGTTGGGTTCTGATGGGGTACAACAGTTTAACTAAACACATGAGGCATTTATAAGTTAAATTCTTCAATTATCAATGGGTATATATCATTAATTTATACAGTGCCTTGCAAAAGTATTCATCCCCCTTGGCGTTTTACCTATTTTGTTGCATTACAACCTGTAATTTAAATTGATTTTTATGTGGATTTCAGGTAATGGACATACACAAAATAGTCCAAATTGGTAAAGTGAAATGAAAAAAATAACTTGTTTCAAAAAATTCTAAAAAATTAATAACGGAAAAGTGGTCTGTGCATATGTATTCACCCCCTTTGCTATGAAGCCCCTAAATAAGATATTGTGCAACCAATTACCTTCAGAAGTCACATAATTAGTTAAATAAAGTCTACCTGTGTGCAATCTAAGTGTCACATGATCTGTCACATGATCTCAGTATATATACACATCCCACGAAACACCATTAAATCCATTATTAAAAAATTGAAAGAATATGGCACCACAACAAACCTGCCAAGAGAGGGCCGCCCACCAAAACTCACGGACCAGGCAAGGAGGGCATTAATCAGAGAGGCAACAAAGAGACCAAAGATAACCCTGAAGGAGCTGCAAAGCTCTACAGCGGAGATTGGAGTATCTGTCCATAGGACCACTTTAAGCCGTACACTCCACAGAGCTGGGCTTTACGGAAGAGCCAGAAAAAAGCCATTGCTTAAAGAAAAAAATAAGCAAACACATTTGGTGTTCGTCAAAAGGCATGATGGAGACTCCCCAAACATATGGAAGAAGGTACTCTGGTCAGATGAGACTAAAATTGAGCTTTTTGGCCATCAAGGAAAACGCTATGTCTGGTGCAAACCCAACACCTCTCATCACCCCGAGAACACCATCCCCACAATGAAACATAGTGGTGGCAGCATCATGCTGTGGGGATGTTTTTAATCGGCAGGGACTTGGAAACTGGTCAGAATTGAAGGAATGATGGATGGCGCTAAATACAGGGAAATTCTTCAGGGAAACCTGTTTCAGTCTTCCAGAGATTTGAGACTGGGACGGAGGTTCACCTTCCAGCAGGACAATGACCCTAAGCATACTGCTAAAGCAACACTTGAGTGGTTTAAGGGGAAACATTTAAATGTCTTGGAATGGCCTAGTCAAAGCCCAGACCTCAATCCAATTGAGAATCTGTGGTATGACTTAAAGATTGCTGTACACCAGCGGAACCCATCCAACTTGAAGGAGCTGGAGCAGTTTTGCCTTGAAGAATGGGCAAAAATCCCAGTGGCTAAATGTGCCAAGCTTATAGAGACATACCCCAAGAGACTTGCAGCTGTAATTGCTGCAAAAGGTGGCTCTACAAAGTATTGACTTTGGGGGGGTGAATAGTTATGCACGCTCAAGTTTTCTGTTTTTTTTGTGTCTTATTTCTTGTTTGTTTCACAATAAAAAAGATTTTGCATCTTCAAAGTGGTAGGCATGTTGTGTTAATCAAATGATACAAACCCCGAAAAAATCTATTTTAATTCCAGGTTGTAAGGCAACAAAATAGGAAAAATGCCAAGGGGGGTGAATAATTTCGCAAGCCACTGTAAGTCCAAAAATGAATGTAGCAACTATGGATTCTAGCTTTAAGATTCTATCTGAAGTTTTATTTAGATGTAATAATAATTTATATTCAAATCAGTGTTAAATGTTGGCTTTGATATGACGACTGCTTATGTGTCTTTTCTCTTTTTTGATAGTGGATATTCTCAGGAGAAGAAAGAGGTGAATGGTTTACAGTAATTATTCTGTGGGAATTTTTCCAGTGTCACACCATTTTGTTCCGGTTGCCAGTTGATTAGGTCAGGGCCGGGCCAGCCCTCCCCTCAGGACCCCTCAGATTATGTTTATTGGAAGTGTTTAAAGGCCCTTCCGATAATCTGGAGTTATCTTTATAACTTGGACTTTCACATGGGAACATGGCTAGGATCTTTGGGATGATGTGTTCAAATAACACATATTTTCAAACAATGTCAGTTTTTAAGGTCCCATCAAAAGCGCTCCCAGAGGAGCTTGAAACATTTCTCACTGCATACCACTGCCTCTGCCTACAGCTGCTTGGGTCAAGCAACTTCAAACTCTCATCCAGAGGCCAGAAACCATCATTATCGACCAGGGCCTTTTTAGCACATGGCCTTGGAGGGAAGCATTGCATTAGGACCACAGGGGTTAGCATTCCTGGCGTGTCTAGAAAATGATGCAAGGCTCTCTAAACGCTTAACAAATGTGTGCACCCTGGGGATATTGGAACAGATTGATAAATGGGGCCACACTGGTTCCTGGCTGGCAGTGTCATTGCCTAGCTGCCTCTATGGTCTGATGCTCCTGCAGTCCCTTTTACCTTCCCTCTCCTCACTTTATCCTGGCCTAGCAGTCTAATGGGGCCAGGCAGGATTTTATGGCAGTCCAGAGAACAGTCAACAACTGGAGCAGAACCAGGAACTAATAAATGACAGGGGAGGGGGGTTGGCATTAACCTGTTGGATTTTTTTAGGTAAATCTTGCCAGGGAGTTCAGATTATTTCTCGTACCTCTATCATCAAAATGAATGGCCCATTTTAAAAGGCATTTACACTCTTTTGTTCTGTCCATATGACCTGACCAAGAAACCCCCAGTTGTAGAAAACAAGTATTTGCTTGTCAGGTTGTGTGGTCAGGAACAACTCCTGACTCCTGATTGTGATGGGGCCCTATACAGATGTAGAATCTTAATTTGATCACCCTGTTGCAGGAGAACTTTCCTGCAATGCAGGACATTTAAAATGTGTAGTGTATTTGTAATTTCCACTTTGAAATGTTAGACTTGATTTTCCCTTAAGAAAAATGTATCAACTCCTACAAAAATGTCCATTAATTATAATCCACATAATAATTCACATTTCCTGTGGCTGCAGGATTATCTTACTGCTGTAGCAAACTGGTTCAAATTAAGATCCTACATCTGTAAGTTAAAAAAAAAAATGGTTGGGGAACTTGTTGGGTCAGTGTGTGTGTGTGTGTGTGTGTGTGTGTGTGTGTGTGTGTGTCATACCTGCAGGTGAGGGTGAGTGACTTCCCAGTGTGGAGAAGGTGTGTGTCCCCAGAGGGAAGCAGCAGAGGGGCCGGCAGGCTGACCTGACCTGTAAAATACAAAAACACACAGACACATACAGACATTGGCTAACACATTGGCTAACACACCCAGTAATGCACACTGCACATTTCAAAGTGTTGCTTCATAGTTGTCTTGACAGTATACATGGGGAGCTACTGTGCCCCTCAGCCAGAAAAGTCTGTGAGAACTGGGGAGAACCGTGCAGAGCCAGATGAGCCCTGCAACATGTCAACAAGCACTTCCTCCAGATCAATCAGTCAATATAGCTTGGTGGGGACTCTCTCTTCCTCTCTTTCTCATAACAATACCGACACACACTTATTTGGGCAGATGTACTTTTTTATTGACCTCTGACCTTGTTGATGCTTTGTATGCTATTATTACATTTATAGGGAAGAGGGACAAAAGGGGAGGTTGAAACGGTGGTTTAAAAATCCCAGTTGGTGGTGGGCCGGCTGAAGCTGTTGATGCGGTGCTCAGCATAGGAAGCACTGTCATTCTCTCTGCTGTACGTGAGGTGTGACGGTCTCATAAGTGATTTCCTTCTTTTGACTCTCTACTCCCCAAGCAGCTTGTGTACTGACAACGTGTGGTTTAGTCCGGTTTCCAGGCAAACCAATTTATTACATTTTCTCTCCCGTTGTCCTAGGGTCAAAATGACCTGCCACTGTGTTGAACCAACTTTATTTAATTTTTATATTTTGGGGATCATTTGTGAGAAGGAGGCAGTGAGACTTTAAAGAAAGTATCACTGCCTCCTTCTCACAAATGATCCCAAAAATATAAAAATTAAATAAAGTTGTTTCAACACAGTGGCGGGTCATTTTGACCCTAGGACAACGGGAGGGTTAAGAGCAGGGAAGCCGGGAAGCTTTTATTTGTATGCCACAGTATCCAGAAAGACAATGGAATAACACAGCAAGGCTAATTCCCTGTGTGGACTCCAGAAACACACACACACATGCGCGTGAACACACAAAACACACACACACACACACACAAAAGTACACAGAGTTACGATTTGTTTCATTGTGAGGGTCTGAACAGCTGTTGTCCAAGAATGAACTGCCCATGCCAATGTTGGCACTCAATATCATCTTCCTCCCAATACGTTATAACATCATTGTTTCATATGAGTCCAAGGTTATTTGGAGGAGAAGGGATGTGGTCAAAGTTTTTTGAAGTGATCAAAGCATTCCTCTCAGTATGACAGAGTACTACAGTATAGGGGCGAAGTATACTACACCACTCTCTTTAATACTTCTCCTTATGCTAAACATAATCAGAGATCACAATCTTCAGACAAACACGTTATGACTCTGTAGGTAGTACTTTTTTGTTATTGCCCATGTGTGTATTTACACATGGATGGATCGATGTGTACATAAACAAAGGCCTGAAGAATGTGACAGTGCATATTTCAAACTAGCTGAGAGAAAAGAACATACTCACACCGAGATTCCTAGAAAATGGTCTTGCCTAAAGCTAATGTTTCCCAAAACTCATAGGTTGTCCATGAATGCTTTTTAAAAATATACTCCTAAAAACTCTTATTTACTAGGGCTGGGAATTGCCAGGGACCTCACGATACAATATTATCATGCTACTTAGGTGCCAATATGATATGTATTGCGATCCGATACTGCGATTTTATTGGGATTTGATATTTCAAACATATTTCTCACTATATGTCTGCTGGAGAGAGACAAGAGAAATCATGAGAAAATGAGTTTTGATCAGTCAGGGAAATAACAGAGCTGAAAACATGTTGGCTCACTATTTAAAAGGAAGATGGAGAACAAGGTATAGGATTTTTGCCACAGGTACAGCCGGCTAGCGCTAGCGAACGCTACCTACAGTAGCAAAAATTGTCAACGAGCTATATAATATCGTCCAAGAATAATATTGTGATATGTAACTGTATGGATTTCTTTCCCCCATCACTATTTTATTTACTGTCCACAAATGGCCTACTGCTGATACTAAGTTACTCTATTATGGTTTGGTTGTAATTGAACTTGACTCTTGAGATTTCTGGCATTCAAAAACTTTACCACTCCACTCCACTCCACTCTCTACCACACCACCACTTTTGTTCCACACTTTGATCCACTTGCTTTTACATACTGTACGCACAAAGTGTCTCTCTCACACACACACACAAACGCACTACATACCACAACCTGACCTCACACCTCACTGGAGGGAAACTCTTCTCCTAAAACCAGGCAGTTGCCTCCGCTCTGCTCTGTAACAAACTACAGATGGATGGTTCAGCTGGGGCACCCAGCATCCCACTTAAAAATAACCCCCTCTTCAAGCCGCCCCCCCCCCCCCCCCCCACCGAACAGCTGTGTGCCGCATTCCTCCAGCGGAACGCCTGCAAAATTCCAGAAATTGTGCTTGTTGTGGTGGTTCAGTTCAGAGGGTCCCAGACCTGGTTCTCATTAGGAGTCATAAAAGAAGAGGACATGCATGGAACCAACAAAAAACAGAGAGAGAGAGCAACTATCCGATGCCTCTCTGGGTTGCCATATTTAGCTCACTCTGTTGGCTGGCGTTGGGCCCTTGTGCCAGTTTTCAAACAGCAGTTGACATTGGTGGTGTTACACTGGGACCCCCATTCATAACTCCCTAGCCTCCCTCTGTGCAGAGCTGGGGAAACAGCAAAGGACAGGACATTGTGTTTTGAAAACACATGCTGTCGCTACACTTCCAGGAAGGACTTTTGCTTCTAAAAGGTTGGGATTCCAAGCTCTATTTGGACGTGTTTGGGGTCAAGCTAAACGGACAAATTGACAGTTTTTAAACTAATCCAAAGCCTATCTTTGTGTCTAGTCCCCATGGAAATTAGTGTGCTCTTTAAAACCCCCAAAATAGTTTCAGCTGTTTTCTGCCAGAAACTTGTGTAATCCAAATACTATCTCATGAGCTGTTCATTGACTACAGCTCAGCGTTCCATACCATTGTGCCTTTCAAGCTCATCATTAAGATTAGGACCCTGGGCAGTGGTGGAAAAAGTACTCAATTGTCATACTTGGGTAAAAGTAAAGATACTACTTGAGTAAAAGTCTAAAAGTATTTGGTTTAAAATATACTTAAGTATCAAAAGTAAATGTTTTTGCTAAAATATACTTAAGTATCAAAAGTAAAAGTAAAAGTATAAATAATTTAAAATTCCTTATATTAAGCAAACCAGAAGGCACAGTGTTCGTGTTATTTGTATTTATGGATAGCCAGGGGCACACTCCAACACTCAGACATCATTTACAAATCAAGCATTTAGTGAGTCCACCAGATCAGAGGCAGTAGGGATGACCAGGGATGTTCTCTTGATAAGTGCATAAATTGAACCATTTTCCTGTCCTGCTAAGCATTCAAAATGTAACGAGTACTTTTGGGAAAATGTATGGAGTAAAAAGTACATTATTTTCTTTAGGAATGTAGTGAAGTTAAAGTAAAAGTTGTCAAAAATATAAATAGTAAAGTAAAGTACAGTTACCCCAAAGAAATACTTAAGTAGTACTTTACACCACTGACCCTGGGATTAAACACCTCCCTCTGCAACTGGATCCTGGACTTCCTGATGGACTGCCCCCTGGTGGTGAGGGTAGGCAACAACACTTCCGCCACGCTGACCATCAACACGGGGGCCCCTCAGGGGTGCGTGCTTAGTCCCCTCCTGTACTCCCTGTTCACCCACGACTGCGTGGTCGCGAACGACTCCAACATCATCATTAAGTTTGCAGACGACACAATGGTGGTAGGCCTGATCACTGACGACGATGAGACAGCCTACAGGGAGGTCAGAGACCTGACAGTGTGGTGCCAGGACAACAACCTCTCCCTCAACATCAGCAAGACAAAGGAGCTGATTGTGGACTACAGGAAATGGGGGGCCGAGCACACCCCCATCCACATCGACAGGGCTGTAGTGGAGACGGTCGAGAGCTTCAAGTTCTTCGTTGTCCACATCAACAAGGAATTATCATGGTCCACACACATCAACACAGTCGTGAAGAGGGTACCACAACGCCTCTTCCCCATCAGGAGGCTTAAAACATTTGGCATGGGCTCTCAGATCCTCAAAAAGTTATACAGCTGCACCATTGAGAGCATCTTGATTGGCTGCATCACCGCTTGGTATGGCAACTAGCACCCGACCGCAAGGCGCTACAGAGGGTAATGCGTACGGCCCTGTAAATCACTGGGGCCGAGCTCCCTGCCATCCAGGATCTCTATACCAGGCGGTGTCAGAAGAAGGCCCTACAAATTGTCAGAGACTCCAGTTACCCAAGTCATAGACTGTTCTCTCTGCTACTGCACTGCAAGCAGTACCGTTGCACCAAGTCTGGAACCAACAGGACCCTGAACAGCTTCTACCCCCAAGCCATAAGACTGCTAAATAGTTAGCTAAATAAGTTAACCAATAGCTACCTGGAATATTTGCATTGACCCTTCTTGCACTAATCTCTTTTGACTCATCACATACGCTGCTGTTACTGTTTATTATCTATCCCATTGCCTAGTCACTTTATCCCTATGAATATTTACATATCTACCTAATTACCTTGTACCCTACCACTGTACATCGACTCGGTACTGGTACCCCGGGTATATAGCCAAGTTATCGTTTCTCATTGTGTATTTATTCCTTGTGTTATTACATTTCTATTTATTCCTTGTGTTATTACATTTCTATTTATTCCTTGTGTTATTACATTTCTATTTATTCCTTGTGTTATTACATTTCTATTTATTCCTCGTGTTATTACATTTCTATTTATTCCTTGTGTTATTACATTTCTATTTATTCATTGTGTTATTACATTTCTATTTATTCCTTGAGTTATTACATTTATATTTATTCCTCGTGTTATTACATTTCTATTTATTCATTGTGTTATTACATTTCTATTTATTCCTTGAGTTATTACATTTATATTTATTCCTCGTGTTATTACATTTCTATTTTTCCTTGTGTTATTACATTTCTATTTATTCCTTGAGTTATTACATTTCTATTTATTCCTCGTGTTATTAC